CATATTGAAAACGATCAGGAAATACTGAAACTCATCTTCAACAGCCTCGAAAAAGACGGGCGGATTGTCCTCTATCTTCCCGCGTTCCAAATCTTGTTTTCCAAACTCGATGCAAGCGTCGGGCACGACAGGCGGTATGACAAAAAGGCGCTTGTCAGCAAGCTGACAAATGCCGGCTTTGAAGTGGAGGAAGTTTCCTACGCGGATTGTCTTGGTTTTTTCATCAGTTTGATTTTTCGTTTTTTCGGATACTCGTCCGACAAGGGCCTGGCTTCTCCGGGGAGACTTGAAACTTACGACAAGTACATTTTCCCCGTGAGCAAGGGAATTGACTCATTGGGCATCAAACACTTTTTTGGCAAAAACATTTTTGTTCGCGCGAAAAAGTCCTGAAGCCCAATAGAGACGATCCTGTGTGAGACACCAGCAACCGACGGCCTGCAGATCGATCAGATGCAAGTCTTCCGGAAGTTGTCAGCGCATTGTTTTTCAAGCGCAACTCACGTGTAAAACGATATACGGGCGTTCAATATAAGTTGTCAGATCAGTGTGACGACTGTAACTAGGCAGCACAATTCAACAAAACAGCGTCTCAAATGCTTCTCGATATCATTTTGTTTCCGCTTTTCGCGGCAACCGTTTCAATAATCGGTATCGGTTTTTGGGAATGCGTTCGAAAAGTCTCGGCGGTCGCACCTGCGCCATTACCAGGCTTTTTGTTTCCGCTGCTTGGAGCGTTTGCGATCGGGTTTATCGCGCTGGTGATCAATTTTTTCAGCGGCGTTGCGAACGCGTATTCGTTCGGAGTGATCACGGCATTTTTTGTCTATGGCTGCTGCCTGATCAACAGGGACGTTGCCAAATCACTTGGGTTGATTTGTGTCTTGGCGGCTCTGTGCACTCCTTTGGCGGCAGACATGCAGGCTGGCCCGGATGCCGGCCTTTATCATTTGGCGCACCAAAGGTGGATCCGAGATCACGAAATCATTTTCGGTTTTGCCCATCTTCACGCAAGATATGGTTTCAGCTCTTTCCTTGAGTACACCAACGCCCTCCTCTGGATCGGAGAGACGTTCAAATTCCTCTCCTACATGTCAGCACTTTTCTTTGTCTCACTCCTTTGCTTCGTTTTTTACGCGATAAACTCAAGAAACAACATCCTCAAGATGTTCGCGTTTTATCTTGCTATCGGCATGTTTATTTATGACAACTACTTCATTTGGAAATACGGTTACGCAGACAGCGCTGCAGGCGTGGCATTCGCACTGTCGATTGCTTTGGGACTTTACATTCTTGTTCTGGACGAACAGCATAAAGAGAGCCGAAACTCGCTGCTGCTCGCGTTCTTTATCCTGTCTGCCATGGCGGTCGCGCTTAAGGTCAGCAGTATACTTGCAGCCATTTGGGCATTTTTTGTTTTCCTCGTTCTGCTCCATCGCGGACTGCTTTCGTTCAAACAGGTCCTGGGCGTGGTCGCCTTTCCCGCTGTCTTCACTTTGCTATGGCTGCTTCGCGGTGTGTTCACGACGGGCTGCCTCCTGTTTCCCGCGTCATGGAGTTGTCTGGACCTGCCGTGGAACAGCAAGGCCCAGGCACTTGAATACAGCAACGCCGTGACCGCCTGGGCAAGACACCCCCATACCGGTTTTTCCTCGCTCGACAGCTGGTCATGGCTCTCAGACTACTGGCTGGCAGCCAACTCGGAATTCTTGATTTTCTTCGGCGTTGCGGTCGTCATCACACTTGTCGTGGCAGCGGTGCTTCGACGTTTCTTTGAAACCGAAAGACTTGCCGCTTTTCAGGCCATCGTCCTTGCCGGCATCGTCTTTGCCGCGCTGGCGCTCTGGTTCCTGAAAGCTCCGACCGAAAGATTTGGCATTGGTGTCCTGATGATCGTGGCTCCAACGATAGCCCTGACGCTGTTTGGCGCTCCTGTGATCAAAAACGGATTTCCCACCAAGGCAATAGGCGTGTTGCTGATCATCCTCATGGCGAACAATCAGGGCGGCTTTTCGATCAAGGGCCTGTCAAGATTTCACATCCTGACCGTGCCGCGGGATGAGCTTGTTGAACACCCGGTTTTTGGGGTACACGGCAAGACCCCCGACGATCTGTGCTGGGCGGCGCCAAACTGCATTCTATCCGATCCACCTGCCCCCAAAACACGGTCAGGCTATCTGTTCTTTGAACAGCAGGATACTTAGGATGGCCAAACCGGTCTGCCGGACTGAAGCAAGGACGAAAAGAATGAAGATTGCCAACCGCAAGAGAGTGCTCGTTACCGGCGGCTCAGGGTTTCTGGGTTCTCATTTATGCGAACGTCTTCTTCGCGAGGGTTCCGACGTCCTGTGCATCGACAACCTCTACAGCAGCACGAAAGACAACATCGTACATCTGCTCTCGAACCCGAATTTCGAGTTTCAAAGACATGATGTGACGTTTCCTGTCTATCTCGAAGTCGACGAGATCTACAACCTCGCCTGTCCGGCCTCTCCAATTCACTATCAGCGCGATCCCGTGCAAACGACAAAAACCAGCGTTCACGGCGCCATCAACATGCTGGGGCTCGCAAAACGGACCAAGGCACGTATTTTTCAGGCGTCGACAAGTGAAGTCTACGGTGACCCGGAAGTGCATCCCCAGACCGAAGACTACTGGGGCCGTGTCAACCCGATTGGCGTTCGCTCCTGTTATGACGAGGGCAAACGCTGCGCGGAAACACTCTTCTTCGACTATCACCGTCAACATGGGCTTGAGATCAAGGTGGCCCGGATCTTCAACACATATGGCCCGCGCATGCATCCGAACGATGGCAGGGTTGTCAGCAATTTTATCGTACAGGCGCTCCAGGGAAACGACATCACCATTTATGGTGATGGTCTGCAGACCCGCAGTTTCTGTTACGTCGACGACCTGATTGACGGTTTTGTCAGCCTGATGTCGTCGCCAAAGGACCTGACGGGCCCCATCAATCTTGGAAACCCATCCGAATTCACCATTCGCGAACTCGCGGAGACCGTGATTGAGCTTGTCGGGGGTGCGTCCAGACTGGTTTTCCGCCCACTCCCGCACGATGACCCGAAACAAAGGCAACCGGATATCTCGATCGCAAAAGAACAGCTTGACTGGACCCCGCAAATCCCGCTCAAAGAGGGACTGAAGAATACAATCGCCTATTTCAGGGATTTGTAAGCCCAATGATCCCTTCCGACACACGCATCGTCATCGTTACTCCGGTTTATGAAGACTTCGAGGCAAGCAGCCGGCTGTTCAAGGAGTTGCAGGCCGAACTTGGAGATAGCGTCTATATTGTCGCGGTCGACGACGGTTCGGTCAGGCAACCGCTCGATACATCCGGCCTTGACGAGGCTGGAGCAAGAGGCGCCGTTCTCAAACTAAGGAGAAATGTAGGGCACCAGAAGGCAATTGCAATTGGCCTCGGTTATGTTTCGACGCATGCTCACGCCGGTCAGTCCATTGTCGTAATGGACTCCGATGGCGAGGATCTTCCTGCCTCAATTCCGCAATTGCTCAAAAGTCTTCAACCCGAACAGGTCGATGTAGTTGTTGCCCGCCGAAAGAGCCGGGTAGAAACACTTCGCTTCAAGACGTTTTATGCGATCTACAAACGACTGTTCCGCGTCGTGACGGGCAGAACCATCAGTTTCGGCAACTTCATGGCGATGAAACCCGCTGGCGTCAGACGACTGTCGGCCATGCCTGAACTGTCGATCCATGTTGCATCCGCGGTTCTTGCCTCGAAATTGCGCATTGACACCTGTCCGCTCGATCGCGGCCCCAGATACGCGGGTCAATCGAAAATGAATTTCGTCGGCCTGGCCCTGCACGGGTTCAAGGGGATGATGGTCTTTGCGGAAGATGTGCTGGTGCGTGTCGGCATCGCTTCCGCGATCGTCGCCATCCTGTCCGTGCTTGGCGGCATGACTGCCGTCATGCTCAAGACTATCGGTTATTCGACACCGGGCTGGTTTTCCGTCGCGCTGGGTATCCTGGTGTTGATGTTCATGCAGACCGGCGTTCTTTCGTTGATGACCCTCATGCTCACTGGCGTCGTGCGAAGTGGTACGGTGACGTCCGAACTCGACTACAGAGATTTCATCGAAAAGGTGCTGTTCAGCGCAAAGGCCGACACCAAGCTCGAAGCTGCCTCCTGACCAACGCCTCTCGTTCACGATATCCTCGCAGGGTCGGCTGGGTCGCGAACGCTCAAAATCAAAAGGTAAGTGCACACGTGAAACTCGTTTCCAGCATAATAGCGACGGTGATGTTTATCGCGCTGCTTCTTGTCACCTACTGCATACACATCTGGTATTTCCCGGTAAACGTCGTCTTCTACGCCTCGATTACCGACGCCTTTATCGCAGCAATCCTTGCAGCTGCGGTCCTGTTCTTCACGGGCTTGTTCTCCAGGCTTGGGGGCTTTGAAAAAAGTCAGCTGGTCGCGATCTGGCTACTTGGCGGATACGCATTCGCGATATCCATCCCGACCGTAATAGACCGCTCGCTTTCCTTCTACATTCTGGAAAAGCTCGAACAGCGCGGCGGAGCAATTCTTGTCGACCGGTTCGAAGACGTGTTCACGAAGGAATATATGAGCGAATATCGGCTTGTCGACGTTCGTCTTACGGAACAGGAATCATCAGGAACAATCGAGATAAAGAATGGTTGTGTCCTACTAACCGAACGGGGACGGACAATCATCTTGGTAAGTAATTTTTTCCGCTCGCATCTCTTGCCACAACAGCGTTTGTTGCGTGGTGAATATACGGACGACCTGACAAATCCCTTCAGGGAGAGCATCGAGGCTCCAGACTACTCATGTGGCCCATCGCTCGACAATAGCAACTAGAGCGCTCTCATTTCACGCAACACCTATCGGCACAAACAAAAAAGGCGCGGCAATCGGTTTTCCAACCAATTGCCGCGCCAATTTATTAACTTTTTCGTGCCAGGGCCATATCTTGGCCCGGACAGCCGCGTCAGTGCGCCAGAATGGCCAGCAACAGCAGCGCCATGATGTTGGTGATCTTGATCATCGGGTTCACCGCGGGTCCGGCTGTGTCCTTGTAGGGATCACCAACCGTGTCACCGGTCACCGACGCCTTGTGCGCCTCGCTGCCCTTATGATGGGTCACGCCATCCTTGTCGGTAAATCCGTCCTCAAAGGATTTCTTGGCATTGTCCCAGGCACCGCCGCCTGCCGTCATCGAGATGGCCACGAAAAGGCCCGTCACGATCACGCCGAGAAGCATCGCACCCAATGCCGCGAACGCATCGGCCGGTGTCGCCACCGCACGCACGACGAAGAAGACGAAAATCGGTGACAGGACCGGAAGCAGCGACGGAATGATCATCTCACGGATCGCGGCTTTCGTGAGCATGTCGACAGCCCGGCCATAGTCTGGCCGTTCCGTTCCCTCCATGATGCCCGGCTTCTCCTTGAACTGGCGACGGACTTCTTCCACCACCGCTCCGGCGGCACGGCCGACGGCCGTCATGGAAATACCGCCGAAGAGATAGGGCAGCAATCCACCGAAGAGCAATCCGGCCACAACATAGGGGTTGGACAGGGTGAACAGCGTATCGACGTTGATACCTGCAAAGATCGAGCCTTCGACAGCTGTGCTGGAGAAGTATCTCAGATCCTCCGTGTAGGCGGCGAACAGAACCAGAGCGCCAAGTCCGGCAGAACCGATTGCGTAGCCCTTGGTGACCGCCTTGGTCGTGTTACCGACGGCATCGAGGGCATCGGTTGTCGTGCGCACTTCAGCCGGAAGATCAGCCATTTCGGCAATGCCACCGGCATTGTCGGTGACCGGACCAAAAGCGTCGAGTGCAACGACCATGCCCGCCAGCGCCAACATGGTGGTCACCGCAATGGCAATGCCGAACAGTCCTGCAAAGCTGTAGGTAACAAGTATGCCGGCGATGATGACGATCGCCGGGAGCGCAGTTGCTTCAAGCGAAACCGCAAGACCCTGGATCACATTGGTGCCATGACCGGTGACGGAGGCCTGGGCAATCGATCTCACAGGACGGTATTCAGTACCTGTGTAGTATTCTGTCACCCAGATAATCAGGCCGGTAACGATCAGGCCAGCCACACCGCAGACAAAGAGATCAAATCCGGTGAAGGTTGTTCCGCCGGATGTTGTGTACTCCGTTCCGGCACCGAGCCAGCCGAAGACGATGATTGCCAGGGCAACCGCCGACAACACTGCCGTGGCGATAAAACCCTTGTAGAGCGCTCCCATGATCGAATTGTTCGCGCCGAGCTTGACGAAGAACGTTCCGATAATGGAGGTGACAACGCAGCTCGCCCCGATCAGCATCGGCAAAAGCATCAGTTCCAGCGCCTGGGCGCCGGTGAAGAAGATCGATGCAAGAACCATTGTCGCAACGACGGTCACCGCGTAGGTTTCGAACAGATCGGCAGCCATGCCGGCACAGTCACCGACATTGTCGCCGACATTGTCCGCGATCGTTGCCGGATTGCGCGGGTCATCTTCAGGGATCCCCGCTTCGACCTTGCCGACGAGATCCCCGCCGACATCCGCGCCCTTGGTGAAAATACCGCCACCGAGACGTGCAAAGATGGAGATCAAGGAGGCACCGAAGCCAAGAGCGACCAGAGCATCAATGACGGTCCGGTCAGTGGATTCGTAACCCATCATTTCGGTCAGAACCGCGTAATAGACCGCAACGCCCAGAAGAGCGAGGCCAGCAACCAGAAGACCGGTGACGGCACCGGACTTGAAGGCAATTTCCAGTCCTGCACCGAGGCTTTGGCTGGCGGCCTGTGCGGTGCGAACATTCGCGCGGACCGATACCATCATGCCGATGTATCCGGCGGCACCTGAGAGAATGGCTCCGATGGCAAAACCGATTGCCGCAGGCCCGGAGAGCAATATCCAGACGAGCACAAAAACGACGGCACCAACGATGGCGATCGTCGTATATTGCCTGTTGAGATAGGCGCTGGCCCCTTCCTGAATCGCTTCCGCAATTTCCTGCATACGGGCATTGCCCGCGTCCGCCGCCATGACGGATTGGATTGCCCATGCGCCATACGCAATGGACAAGAGGCCACAAACAACGATGATGACAAGCTCGATCATACTTCCTCCCAGGGCTGCGGCGAGCTGTTTTTATTGTTGTTTTCCCGCCAAACTGCACCTCACGCAATTTCCTCAGCGTGAGGAGAGCACACGATATCAACAAAGCAGAGCGCTTCGTCAAGCTCTCATATGGTTTAATTCAGCTCTTCCGTTACGGTAAAAAATGGTGCAGCGCGGTATTTTTGCTGCACTGACGAAATGGAATTCCAAAGAATCTTTAAGCGGTTGTAACTGCTTTCCTTTCACTCAGCACCAGCCAGACAAGCAATCCGATGCAAATGACAACAAAAGGAAAAACCAGCACATTTACCGTTCCCCAACCGAAAGCATTCAGCAGTGCTCCCGATGAAAACGAGGCAGCAGCAACGAATCCGAAGACCAGAAAATCGTTGACCGCCTGCACCAGATTGCGCTCTTCGGGCCGGTAAGTGTCGGTCAGCATCGCCGTTGCACCGATGAAACCGAAGTTCCAGCCAAGTCCGAGCAGAACAAGAGCGGTCCAGAAATGTGCCAATTCGATCCCCATCAGTGCCACGATCGAACAGCCTGCAAGCAGCGCCAATCCGATGGAAACGATGCGCTCCTTGCCGAAGCGGGCAATCAGGTTTCCGGTGAAGAAACTCGGTCCGAACATGGCGAGCACGTGCCACTGGATCCCGAGCGCCGCGTCGGTTTCGGTAAGGCCGCAGGCAATCATGGCGAGCGGTGTTGCCGTCATGACCAGGCTCATGAGCGCGTAGGAGCAGATCCCGCAGGCTGCCGCGACAATAAACCTTGGCTGCGCCATGATTTGCAGCAGCGGGCGGCCACCGGCATGCGACCTGTTCCGGCGCGGCGGCTTGGGGATCTTGATGAAGGCAAGCAAGAAGAGCGCGATGAGGCCGAGGCCTGCCTGCGCAAGATAGGTACCGGCAAACAGGATCGGCGCAAACATGTCCTTTGTTGCGATCACCGTCTGCGGCCCGACGACACCCGCCAGAACGCCTCCGGCCAGAACCCAGGAAATGGCTTTCGGCTTGAAGGCATCACTTGCTGTATCTGCAGCGGCAAACCGGTACTGCTGAACGAACGCGCCGGCAAAGCCACCTATTGAGCAGGCCAGTGCAAACAAAAGGAAATTGTCGCGAAAGACGGCAAATGATGCCAGCAGGCCGGACAGCACGCCGAGAACTGCGGCTCCCGTGAACCCGGCCCTGCGGCCGAACCTGCGCATGATCATGCCGGCCGGTATCGTACCGAACGCAGTGCCTAGAACCATGGTTGATACAGGCAGGGTTGCGAGTGACTTGTCCGCATCGAGCATCATGTAGCCGATAAGCGGCCCCGTCGCGATCACGATGGAAGCCGATGCTCCGCCGAGTGCCTGTGCCAATGCCAGAAGCACGGCATTTCGTTTTGCCAGGCGATCATCGACAAAGGGTTCCGTCGTTGCGGTCGTCATTTTTCAGATCTCGGGATTGGCCGGTTGTGGCTCAAGATGAAGTGGAGACAACCGGTATCACGACTGGAGCGTTTCGTAAAACCCCGGGCCAGAACGATCTCAAAGCTGGAAAAAGCCGTCAGAAATGCCGGAAGCCGGACCCGCTCTCAAGTTTCATGGGATGCCCGTTTTCAACGAGTTTCACCTTGCCGGCGCTGCTCGTAACCACCCCAATCGCGGTGACAGGACAACCGGATTCCACTGCTTTTTCTGCAAATTCCGACGCAACTGCAGACGGCACCGACGCAAGTATCTCATAGTCATCGCCGCCATTCAGACACTGGGCAAAGACATCCGGCACCGTCTTTTTCATCCGTTGCAGTGCTGAGGATATCGGGACACTTGACATTTCGATTTCAAACCCGACCCCGGAAGCCCGTGCCATGTGACTGCAATCGGCGAACAGGCCGTCAGAAACGTCCATGGCTGCAGTGGCATATCTGGTGAGCAGGCCGGATAGGGCTGTCCTTGGCCGCGGCAATAGATACCTGTCCAGAATGTGACGCTCTTCTGCCCCGTTAAGCGATGCGTTGCCGCAAAAACTATGGTCGAGCCGCGCCTTCAGGCCGGCGGCGGCGTCTCCGATGGTCCCCGAAACGAAAACCAAATCACCCGCATTCGCACCGGACCGACGAACTGTCTTGCCGGCTTCCGCTTCCCCAATGGCGGTGATCGATATCTGAAGGCCGCTTCCCGACCGGATGGTGTCGCCACCGAGCAGCTGGACATTGTAGGCTGACTGATCGGCGGTCAGACCCGAGCAGAACCGCCCCAGCCAATTCGCCGTCCAGTCGGACGGCAAGGCAAGACCCAACAGATATCCCCGTGGCCTGGCGCCTTTTGCCGCAAGATCGGAAAGGTTGACCCTCAGCGCTTTTGCGGCGATTGCCTCTGGCGCGTCATGTGCAAAGAAATGAACGCCGGATGCAAGCACATCCTTCGTCAGGACAAGATCATAACCGGGTCTGGGAGAAAGTACGGCGGCATCGTCCGTCAACCCAAGGCTGCCCGGATCCTTCGCAAGCGGCGCGAAGTATGTCCTGATGAGTTCAAATTCTCCCGGCCGGTCGTCCGCCATGATCAGGAGGCGCCGTCCGCCTTGCCGGTATCGAACTCGGCATTGCGCAACTCGTGAGCAAGCCTGTCCAGCACACCGTTCACGAGGCCCGGCTCATCATTTTCAAAGAATGCCTTCGCAACGTCAATGTACTCGGAAATGATGACTTTCGCCGGCACATCCTTGCGGCGCAGCAGCTCATAGGATCCAGAGCGCAGGATTGCGCGCAACAGGCTATCGATACGTTTCAGCGGCCAATCTTCGGTCAGTGCGGTGTGGATGAAAGGGTCCAGAAACTTCTGGTCCTCGACCACACCGGCGAGGATCTGTTTGAACCACTGTTCGTCGGCATCACGGTATTGCGCGCCATCAATCTCCTTGCCGAGACGAAAGGCGGTAAATTCGCTCACGACGTTTGCGAGCGATGCACCGCCCACGTCCATCTGATAAAGCGCCTGAACCGCAGCAAGGCGCGCAACGCCGCGCTTGTTGGCGGGGCGCACAGTCTTAGCCGGATTTTCCGGGTCGGCCTTTCCGGTCATTTTTCTTATACTCCAAGCCGTTCGCGCAGCGCGATCATGTCGAGGGCAGCCCTGGCTGCCGCCCCACCCTTGTTCTTGTCACCGACTTTCGCACGTGCCCACGCCTGCTCATCGTTTTCCACTGTCAGGATGCCATTTCCCACGGCAAGATCCGCATCGACAATGAGGTCCATGATTACCCGGTTCGATTCATTTGCCACGATGTCGTAGTGCGTCGTCTCGCCTCGGATCACAACTCCAAGCAATACGAAACCATCATATAGAATACCGTCGTTTTCCATCGCGGTCATGGTCATGGACAGGGCGGCCGGGATTTCGAGAACACCAGGCACCGCAATCCGGTCGCAACTGGCGCCGGCGGCCTCGATTTCCTTGATCGCACCTTCTACCAATGCATCGGCAAGGTCGTCATAAAAACGGGCTTCAATGATCAGCAGTTTGGGAGCAGCGCTCATGGGTCATGTTTCCATTAGAGGGGCCGCGACAGGAACCACGTCCATCCCGGTTTGTCCAGTGTCAATCGTGCAGGGCTGCCAGAACCGGACAGCATCAGTGCTTCCGGCTGTCTATGCCATTGACGCCGTCAAATACTCCGGGCCGGCCCTAGCCGGTCTTCGAGAATTCCGCAAGACGAGCGGCATACCGGGCCATCATATCCACTTCCAGATTGATTCTGTCACCGAGATGGCGATCGGACCAGGTTGTCACATCCAGCGTGTGAGGGATCAAAAACACGGAAAACAGAATGCCGCTCACCTCATTGACGGTCAGCGAGGTACCGTCCAGCGCAATCGACCCTTTTTTGCAATAAACCGTGCGGTTTCCCTCGGGGCTTCGAACTGGAAGTAAACCGAGTCCGGATGATCTTCGCGTTTAACCACTGTGGCGATACCGTCGACATGCCCGAGCACCAAATGACCACCAAGTTCCGCACCCAGGGTCAAGGATCGCTCCAGATTGATCCTCTGACCTGCACGCCAGTCCGAGACCGTCGTCAATGCCAGGGTTTCGGCGGCCGATTCGACATCAAACCAGTTTCCGTCATCACTGTTCGACTTTGCCGTTACCGTGTGACAAACACCTCCACAGGAGATCGAGGCCCCAATATCGAACGTGTCCGCGTCATAAGACGTGCGAATTCGTGTACGCTTGCCGGCCGGTATGTTCTCGACCGATAGAATTTCGCCTAGATCGGTCACAATCCCGGTAAACATGTCAGGCTCCTCGACGTCTGAGATAAATGTAACGATCAGCATCGAAACTGCCGGCGTCCATACGATCGAATTTGGGATCGGAAAATACATCCGCAAGAGCAAGGCCATGCAATGCGGGTATTCCCTCGTCGCCGATCTCCAGATCACCGGTCACCACACACAGGTCATCGACCAGATCCGCCTCCAGGAATGACGACGCCATGCGAGCGCCTCCTTCAACCATCACGCTGGTGATTCCCCGTGTCGCGAGCGCGCTCAGAATGACGGCTGGCGCAATGGAACAATCTCCGGCAGGCACTCGAATGACGTTGACCCCCGCCGCGACAAGAACTTCGACATTTTCGGGATCGGCATCGTTTCCACAAACAAGCCAGACAGGAACATCAACGCAGGTCCGCACCAGTTTTGATTCGACCGGAAGGCGGGCACAACGGTCAACGATCACCCTGACGGGCGAACGTTCGTGCAGCCCCGGCAATCTGCATGTCAGTTGCGGATCATCGGCCAGTGCCGTTCCGGATCCGACAAGAATGGCATCATGTTCCGCCCGAAACCCGTGAACCTTGCGCATGGACAGCGGCCCCGAGATCTTGACCTGCCCCTCACCTGTGCGTCCGATATAGCCGTCTCTTGAGACCGCCAATTTCAGGAACACATGAGGGCGCTGCTTGAGCTGTCTCAGGGTGAAGCCGTGATAAAGAGGCCTGATTTCGCGTTCGCGCACGCCAACCGTAACGTCGATCCCGGCATCGCGGAGCATGCCGACACCCCTGCCGGCAACGCGCGGGTTGGGGTCTAGCATGCCGACCACCACGCGTCCCACGCCGGCTTCGATCAGTGCCAGAGAACACGGCGGTGTCCGGCCATAGTGCGAACAAGGCTCCAGCGTCACGTAACAGGTCGCGTCCTTTGCCAGATCGCCTGCTTGGCGGAGCGCATTCACCTCCGCGTGGGCCATGCCCGGGCGGGAAGTAACTCCCCTGCCGACCAGCACCGATCCATTCTCGCCCTGTCGGACTATCAACGCGGCAACCGACGGATTGGGCCAAACCCGGCCAAGTCCGCGCCGCGCCAGCCGTTCGGCAGCGGCCATGAAACGCTTATCAATCGTATTTTCGGAAATCATCTATGATCTACAAGAAACGTTACTGGTCATCCGGAACAGCGTTTTCAGAATCGCTGAGCTCGTCGAGAAGCGCCTCGAAATCCTTGGCTTCACGAAAGTTCTTATAGACGGACGCGAAACGCACATAAGCGACGTCGTCGATACCCTTCAAACCTTCCATCACGTGATTGCCGATTGTTTCCGCCGTAATTTCGCTCTCGCCCGAGCTTTCGAGCTGACGCACGATTCCGCTCACCATGCGCTCAATGCGATCTGGATCGACGGGCCGCTTTCGCACGGCGATCTGAACGGATCGCATGAGTTTTTCACGATCGAACGGAACTCTTCGCCCGGATCGCTTCAGAACCATCAGTTCGCGCAGCTGTACCCGCTCGAATGTCGTGAAACGACCGCCACAGGTATTGCAGATCCTGCGGCGGCGAATGGCGGTGTTGTCCTCGGTAGGTCGGGAATCCTTGACCTGGGTTTCCTCGCCCCCGCAAAACGGACATCTCATTTATCAAAGCTCCTGACCGAGCCGGCTGTTATCCCCCGTAGATCGGGAACCTGGCTGTCAGTGCTTCTACCTTGGCTTTGACGGCTGCTTCAACCGCCGCGTTGCCCTCTTCACTGTTTGCGGCCTTCAATCCATCCAACACTTCCGTGATCAGCGCGGCAACTTCCCGGAATTCGGCCACGCCGAACCCGCGCGTGGTCGCCGCCGGAGTACCCAGCCGGATGCCGGATGTCACAAATGGCTTTTCCGGATCAAACGGAATTCCGTTCTTGTTACAGGTGATGTTGGCACGCCCCAAAGCCTTTTCAGCAACCTTGCCGGTTGCATTCTTCGGGCGCAGGTCAACCAGCATCAGGTGGTTGTCCGTACCGCCTGAAACGATATCGAGACCCTGTTCCTTCAATGCTTCGGACAAAGCCTTGGCGTTTTCGGCAACAGCACGTGCATAGGCCTTGAAATCAGGTTGAAGCGCTTCCTTGAAGGCTACGGCCTTGGCGGCAATCACATGCATCAGAGGGCCACCCTGCAATCCGGGAAAAACCGCCGAGTTCATCTTTTTGGCAATCGCTTCGTCGTTGGACAGGATCAGACCACCGCGCGGGCCACGCAGGGACTTGTGCGTGGTGCTGGTAACGACATGCGCATGCGGAACCGGGGACGGATGGACACCTCCGGCCACGAGACCGGCGATATGGGCCATGTCGACCATCAGGTAGGCACCGATACTGTCGGCAATTTCGCGAAACTTTTTCCAGTCCCAGATACGAGAATATGCCGTGCCACCGGCGAGAATGAGCTTTGGCTTGTGTTCCTGTGCGAGGCGCTCGACCTCTTCCATGTCGAGTAGATGATCGTCTTCACGCACACCGTAGGAGACAACGTTGAACCACTTTCCAGACATGTTTACAGGCGAACCGTGCGTAAGGTGGCCACCGGAATTCAGGTCGAGACCCATGAAGGTATCCCCGGGCTGCAACAGCGCCAGGAACACCGCCTGGTTCATCTGGCTGCCCGAATTCGGCTGAACATTTGCAAACTGGCAACCGAACAGTTCCTTGGCACGTTCAATGGCGAGTGTCTCGGCGACGTCAGCAAACTCGCAACCACCGTAGTAGCGCTTGCCTGGATAGCCTTCTGCGTATTTGTTCGTGAAAATCGACCCCTGGGCTTCGAGAACAGCGCGGGAGACAATGTTTTCCGACGCAATCAGCTCGATTTCGTGCTGCTGTCGGCCGAGTTCCTGTTGAATGGTGCCAAATATGTCTGCATCGGCTTCAGCAAGACTGCGGGTGAAGAAACCGGAAGGGGTCTGTCCGGTGCTTTCCATCAAAGACATCGCTCGATCCTTGTTTTCGTATGCGAGGAACCTGGCCCCGGCATCGCGTCAGGTAGAGACACTCATTGCCCGTCGGCCGACATGGCGCGAGGAATTAGCACAGGCCCCCCGGCGAACCAAGGGGCATACCGACGCGGCCAGTTGGGAAAACGACGCACAAAGGCCCGTAACAAAATTTTTGCCAACGAAAAAAACAACCGGTTCAGTAAAGTGTCGGGTCCTTCGCTGCACTCGAAGAGGCGGCAATCTGCTCGATCCGACGCTGCAACTTGCGAACGGCAACACGCTTCAGGTCTTCCTGAGCCGCCGAAGCCGGCCCGAAGGTGGAGACTTCAATACCGGTTGCAGCATCGATCGCAGTTACTTTGACCTGATGGCCGATCGGGTGAAACTCCAGATAGATTTCGCCCGCGCGCGGATTGCGACTCATCCAGACTCTCCAGATTGGATTTAGCCCAAAAAAGACACGAAACGCCGACCTGATCAAGGCCGGCGTATCGGTGTGTTCCATGCCCAGGCAGTTTTGCCCTAGAGGCGAGCCTGCGTTTCCGTGCCTGAAAGATCATCGCGATCATAAATGTCATCGCGGAAATGCACGACGCCATCCGAATTTGCCCAGGCAGTCACGTATGTCATGTAAAGCGGGACGGATTTCTTCAGCTTTACATCTTCGCGTTCGCCGGTGCGGATGACGCTGTCAACGCGACTACGGTCCCAATCAGGCGTCGTCGACTGCAACATCCAGGTCACAAGTTCGCGTACGTTCTGTACACGAACGCACCCGGAGGAGTGGAAACGCTGACTTTCACCAAAGAGTGTCTTTGACGGCGTATCGTGCAAATAAACCTGGTGTTTGTTGTGAAAATTGATACGCACCGAGCCCAACGAATTTTCCGCGCCCGGATCCTGCGTGAAGCGATACTGTGTCGCCTCGTCCGTGTTCCAGTCGATCTGCTGCCAGGCCAGCTCGTTGCCGCTCCAGTCGAAAATCCGGATATTGTTCTTTGAAAGGTACTCCGGGTCCTCTTTCATCTTGGGGATCAGGTCCTTGCGGATGATCGATACCGGAACCGTCCAATACGGATTGAAGTTGAGTTCGTAGATCTTGCTGTTCAGGATAGGTGTCTGCCGGTCGATCTTGCCAACAACGGCGGTGTGGCGCGAGCGAACCCGTCCGCTTTCAACGGCCTCGATTTCAGCAGCCGGAATATTGACCATCACATAGCGATCGCCAAGGAATCCGGACATGGACCGCATGCGCACAATATTCGTCTCGAGCTGCCCAAGACGCACATGGGCCGGGACGTTCAGGGCCTGCACCGTGTCATCGCCCATGACCCCGTCCGGGATCAGGCCATGACGCAGCTGGAAACGGCGAAGTGCGGCATCGACATAAGAGTCAAAGGCATCGGAAAGACCTGCTTGCTGTTCCAGATCTCCGGAGACGATCAACCTGCGGCGCAGTTCCACGACACGCGGATCCTTGGCACCAATGCGAAGCGCTTTGCCACCTCCGGTCACCGTACCCCAGCCACCGGCCTGAACTATGCGCTGATAGCGGTCGATCGCGATAGCAATATAGTCGGCTGTTTCAGGCGATAGGGTTGGCGCTGAAGAGTTGACTTCGGTAATGTTTTCCGTGGCGATATCGAAGTTGTCAGCCCACTCGACATTCTGGCGGTTCTGCTGCAGCGACTGCAGTGCAGTTTGTGCCTGTCCTTGAACACCGCTTGCCAGCAATGTGCCAATTCCCATCGCACACACGCTCAATAATGCCTTGCGGGCGCCCCAATTCTGGAGACACTTTTTTCCGGACCGACCGGCTTCAAGGTGCATCGCCAACCTCATTTGCTGTGCCTAATGCTTTCGGTTCTGCTGGTATTTTCAATCGGACTTCCAAAATTTCGGTCCGGCTGACTTTTCCAAATCGAATTTCTAAATGACGGGAGTTAACAAATCGCTTGAATCTTTAACCATATCGCCGTCTGAAGCGCCGCACAAAGCCATTCCTTTGTGACCACAAGATGTCAGTGACCAAGCGACCGGCACAAATCCCGGGCTTCAGGGCCGTTTCGGCCGAACGGAGCTTCCATTACTGGTATGAAGAAAATCAAAAAGGATGAAACGCAATTTTGCGTGAGGAGCTCAAAAAAAGAAAAAGCACCGCCCGATGGGCGGTGCTTTTGTCATCTGGATTTGCCGCAAAATCAAAGACGGTAGAGAATCTGGTCTGTCCAGAACCGCTCGAGGCGGCGCAGCGACTTGTTGAGAACAACGAAGTCCTCCGGACCAATCTCGCCGACCTGCTGGACGGACAGGATGTGGCGCTCGTAGAGATCGTTGACGATCGTTGCGACTTCCTGGCCCTTGTCCGTGAGACTCACGCGGACTGACCGGCGGTCCATGCGGGAACGCTGATGGTGGATGTAACCAGTTTCGACCAGTTTCTTCAGGTTATAGGACACGTTCGATCCAAGATAGTAGCCACGGGTCCGCAGCTCACCGGCGGTCAGCTCTGCGTCACCGATATTGAACAGCAACAATGCCTGCACGCTGTTGACATCGGAACGGCCCATGCGATCGAACTCATCCTTGATGACGTCCAGAAGACGCCGATGCAGCCTTTCGACAAGAGTCAGGGCTTCGAGGTAAAGTGGCTTGATTTCCACTTCTTCCGCTTCGCCCGGTGAAACAGCGTCGACTGCCCTACTTGCGGTGATCATGTGATTGCGCCTCTTATAGTACCTGTTGTTGGGCGGATATTTTCCCGCCTTGATACGCAATCTAGCCGAGTGTTTCTAAAATCCGCTTAAGAGACACGCTGAATCATTCGTTAACACTTGAAGGGCATTTTCAGCACCCGATTCAGACTTTGTTAATCATGATCCGCGCAGGAAGTTCACGATCCCCGAGAAGTCCTTTTCGTTGCCGCCGGTGTTACAGAACAGAGCATAAAGCGCCGCAGCTTCCGCACCCAGCGGCGTGGCTGCGCCAGATGTATTGGCCGCTTCCTGTGCCAGTTTGAGGTCCTTGAGCATCATGGCCGCCGCAAATCCCGGCTCGTAGTCCCTGTTGGCTGGCGACGACGGGAGCGGTCCGGGCACCGGGCAATAGGAAGTCAGCGACCAGCACTGGCCTGACGCTGTCGACGAAATATCGAACAGCTTTTGCGCGTCCAGGCCGAGTTTTTCAGCAAGCACGAAGGCCTCGCTCACTCCGATCATCGATATGCCCAGGATCATGTTGTTGCATATCTTCGCGGCTTGACCATTGCCCGCTCCGCCCGCATGGACGATCGTTTTGCCCATGATGTCCAGGAATGGTCCGGCAGCTGCAAATGCTTCATTGCTGCCGCCAACCATGAAGGTGAGCGTTCCGGCGGTTGCCCCGCCAACACCGCCTGAAACAGGGGCATCGACCATCAGCATGTTCATTTCAGCTGCAGCTGCGCTGACAACGCGAGCGCTTTCGACATCAATGGTGGAGGAGTCAATCAACAGCGTGCCGGCTTTGGCGTTCTGTAGAATACCGCCCTCCCCCTGGTAGATCTGGCGGACATGTTTTCCCGCCGGCAGCATCGTGACAATGACATCTGAAGCAGCGGCAAGGTCGGAAACACCGTCCGCTTTCTCGCCTCCGGCCTCGACATGCGCGGATAGGGCTGCGTCCGACAGATCAAATCCGAGAACCCTGTGTCCCGCCTTGACCAGATTGACGGCCATCGGGCCACCCATGTTTCCAAGGCCAATGAAGCCGACTGTGCTCGCCATGTTCGTTCTCCCAGATGAATTTGGTATTGAATGTGAATCTGTTGGCGGTGATCGCTGAAGCGATGATTCAGCTTGTCGGAAACCGACAGGCTTCTTCTTCAGCCTGGTGCCGCACGGTTTTCCCTGTGCATGAGATAAGCCAGCGCGACATAGACTGCGATCGTAGCCAGATAAAAGGAGATCTCGTAAGGACGACGGCCATAAAGATCGGAAAAGGCGGTGTGCATGACAATCTGGCAAATGCACCGGAAGATCCACATGACCGTTCCCCAGGATACTGTCAGCCAGAGACCTGTCGCCGCGACCAGGTCGAGAACGGCAAAAAAGACGGTCGCTCCCTGGAGTGCAACCGGCATGTCCCAGAAGAAATGGCCGCGCCATTCCACAATGCCGATAATGCGCGCCCAATAGATAACCCCGCCGCCGATCAGGATGATCGCTATGCAGCGCAAATACAGGATCAGAATCGTGCTCCAGGGTGGGCGGGCATCGATAAGGTCCTGAAAGCTTGTGATCATGGCCGGTCCGGTTGCGCGTTAAAGAGGAAGATCTCCGTCAGACGGTTCCTCGAAATACGACGCCAGCGACGCGCTGTCCACTTGTCCCAGTTGGTTAGGAGTCCATTTCGGGGCCTGATCCTTGTCAACAACAACCGCACGAATGCCTTCGAAGAAGTCGTCACCATGGAGGATCCGTGAAACGATCCGGTACTCGAGCTTCATGCATTCATTGAAGGACAATTGCGCCCCGCGCCGCATCTGCTCAAAGGCAATCAGAACGCTCGTCGGGGATTTCTGACGGATCGCGTCCGCGGTTTTGCTGGAAAACTCCTCATCCGCGGCCTCGAGCCTGTTCAGAATCTCCGTCACCGACGACGCTGAAAAGGCATGCTCGACAAGGGCTTCGTTCCGCTGCAAGACGCCGGTTTCCGGCGTAACGAGATACGGCCGAAGCGCCGCGCCGATGTCGCTGGCCGTTTCCAGCGACGTCTCCAGATCGGGAAGCCTGTCTTCGGAAACCGCGTGCGTCAGCACGCCCGAGGCAAGAGCGTCGGCCTGTTTGAGCCGGCTCGCACTCAATGCGCAATAGATGCCCATCTTTTTGGGCATGCGTGGCAGGAAATAGGTACCTCCCACATCGGGGAAGAAACCGATCGCGGTTTCAGGCATGGAAAAGAGCGTCTTCTCGGTGCCTATCCGGTGACTGCCGTGAACGGAAACACCCACGCCTCCTCCCATGACGATCCCGTTGATCAGTGCGATATAGGGCTTCGGATAGGCCTTGATCGTGGCGTTCAGGGTGTACTCGTCCCGAAAGAACGGCTTGAGGCTCTCTACGTCGCCCGCCATCCGTGTGTCGTAGATGCTTCGGATATCGCCACCGGCGCAAAACGCCTTGCCACCCGCCCCCTTGATGACAATGTGCGCGACGGACGGATCACCGGCCCAGCGCTGCAACTGATCCGCAAGCGCCTTCACCTTTGCATGGGTCAATGCATTGAGAGCCTGCGGCCTGTTCAACGTTACGAACCCGGCTTTGCCGCGAACTTCAAAGAGGATTTCGTCACTCATGCGGACGCCTTGTCAAATGAGAGTCGTTTCAAGGGTTAAGTCGGGGAAATTCAATCAGTCCTTCAATAGCTGCCTGGCTATGATCAGGCGCATGATTTCATTGGTGCCTTCCAGAATCTGGTGCACGCGGACATCTCGGAAAAAACGCTCGATGGGATAGTCGCGCAGATATCCGTACCCCCCATGAAGCTGGAGTGCCTCGTTGACGACCTTGAAGCCCGTGTCCGTTGCCAGGCGTTTGGCCATCGCGGCAAGCCTAGTTGCCTCGTGGGTCTTGCCATCAACAGCAACAGCAGCCTTGTGCAGAAGCAGGCGTGCAGCTTCGAGTTCGGTCGCCATGTCGGCAAGTCGGAACTGAAGAGCCTGAAAATCGGCAATCGGCCTGCCGAACTGCTTGCGTTCCCGCGTGTAGTCAAGAGCATGTTCCAGACAGGCCTGAGCCGCGCCGATCGAACAGGCTCCAATATTGAGCCGTCCACCATCAAGTGCCGACATGGCGATCTTGAAGCCCTGGCCTTCCTCGCCAACGAGGTTTGACTTTGGTACGCGACAATCCTGAAAATTCACTTGCGCGGTCGGCTGGCTCTTCCAGCCAAGCTTGATTTCGTTCGCACCGAAACTCAGTCCGGGCGTTCCCTTCTCCACCAGCAGGCATGAAACACCGGATGGACCATCGCCACCCGTGCGCACCATTACCGCATAGAGATCGCTGACGCCTCCACCTGAGATGAAGGCCTTGGAGCCGTTGAGCACATAATGATCACCGTCGTCCTTCGCACTCGTGCGAAGACTGGCGGCATCGGACCCGGACCCGGGCTCAGTCAGGCAGTAACTCGTCAAGAGCTCCATCGTGCAGAGCCTTGCCAGGAACTTCTGCCGCAAGTGTTCGGATCCGAATGTGTCGATGATCCAGGCCACCATGTTGTGGATCGACAGGTAGGCCGCCGTGGAAGTGCAGCCTTTCGAGAGTTCCTCGAAAATCAAGGCCGCATCGAGACGAGAGAGAGCCGAGCCGCCCACGTCCTCCTTTACATATATGCCACCGAACCCGAGTTCGGCCGCCTTGCGCAGGGTCGGAATCGGAAAGATGCTGTTTTCATCCCAGTGCCGGGCGTTCGGGGCGAGCTCGTCGCGGGAAAAACCCGCGGCCATATCCTGAAAGGCGCGCTGATCTTCGTTTGGTGAAAAGTCCACGTTTATCCTCCCAAAGGCGCAGGTGCGCCGAGTCGTTGAAGGCAAGTTGCCGTACCTGCATTGCGGCTGCACTAAAACATATTTGACGCAAACGTCAAACAATCTCTTTTTTGTTTTTATTTTCAGTTATTTTACAGAATGTTGGAGTGCGTCAATCTGCGTGATAGATTGGCGTTTCACTTCCTTCAGAATACAAGTCAACATTCAAAAAACAGAGCTCGCAGGTTCCATGTCGTCCAAACCGCCCCTTCCGCCGATCACATCCGACCATATGGATACGCTGCTCGCCGGCACCAGAATGCGCCGTAACAGGCAGAGCGACTGGTCGCGCCGGCTCGTGTGCGAACACACATTGACCGTCAATGACCTGATCTGGCCGATCTTTCTCGTCGACGGCGAGAATGTGCGTCAGCCAGTCGCTTCAATGCCGGACGTATTCCGTCTTTCCGTCGATGAAGCCGTTCGCGAGGCAACGCAAGCCGCGGACCTTGGCATTCCGGCTCTCGCCCTGTTTCCCTATACCGATCCCGACCTGCGTGATGACACGGGTTCGGAAGCCCTGAATTCTGAAAATCTGACCTGCCGGGCTCTGCGCGCTATTAAGGCGGAAGGCCTGAATGTCGGTCTGATGACCGACGTCGCGCTCGACCCCTATACAAGCCACGGCCATGACGGGTTGATGGAGGGTGAAACGATCCTCAATGACGAAACAGTCGACCAGCTGTGCAGGCAGGCACTGGTCCAAGCCGACGCCGGGTCGGACGTTATCGCGCCTTCCGACATGATGGACGGCCGGATTGGTGCCATCCGGCAATCCCTTGACAGTCAGAATTTCCGCAACAAGCAGATCATGGCGTATTCCGCAAAATACGCCTCCGCCTTTTATGGCCCTTTCCGGGACGCTGTCGGGTCTTCCGGGACCCTGAGGGGAGACAAGCGGACGTATCAGATGGATCCGGCGAACACCGACGAAGCCCTGCGCGAAGCTGAACTCGACATCGCCGAGGGTGCCGACATGGTGATGGTCAAGCCCGGCCTTCCGTATCTCGACATCGTTCGGCGCATCAAGGACGAATTCCAGGTCCCGACTTATGCCTACCAGGTCTCCGGAGAATACGCGATGATCAAGGCGGCGAGTGCCAATGGCTGGCTTGACGGTGACAGGGCGATGCTGGAAAGCCTTCTGGCATTCAAACGTGCAGGTGCCGACGGGATCCTGACCTATTTTGCGCCAAAGGTCGCGGAGATGCTGGCTCAAGGAAAATAGCAATCCTCTGTTCAGTCCAGACCTTGCAGTTAGTTGGCGCAGGCTGAAATGGCGGTGGTTTCCCAAGTCACATCCATACCAATACACATCACGTCGAGCGGATCTTCCGTCCAAATGGCCACCCCCGACTTGATCCGGGACTGCCTCTGTTGCGCGCATGCCGGGAATTTGCGTTTTCAATGTTCAATCCCCACATGTGCGTCATCACATTTTTGGGAGCATGTTAATGTCCGCAGAAACCTCCGCCGACTATGTTCGTCAGGACGTCTTTGATCCTGTTCGCCACCCGGAACTGTTTTCCGGAGTGCGCAGCCGGCGAATATTTGCGTTCTTCATCGACGTGATCGTGATCGCCCTCCTGACCTTCGGCGCCGGCATCCTGGTATTTTTCCTTGGTGTCTTCACGCTCGGCCTCGGCTTTCTGCTTTACGGCATCCTGCCGGCAGCCGTCGCCCTGCTCTATGTGGCTTTCACGCTTGGCGGACCGCTGGCTTCCACTTTCGGAATGCGTGCCATGGGGCTGGAAATGCGCCTCTGGTACGGTGCCAAACCCTATCCGCTTCTTGCTTCAGTGCATGCGCTTCTGTTCTGGTTTTCCGTTTCGCTGCTGACGCCGCTCGTGCTGTTGGTGTCGCTCTTTTCGGACCGCAAGCGTCTGCTGCATGACATGATCCTAGGCGTGGTTGTGATCAACTCTGCCTATCACCAGCAGTATTTTTACGAGCAGGAGTAGAGTGCTGCCCTCTGCAAGCAGACCGTGTCCGGGCAACGCCTGGCCCATTGCTTGCGCGCACTATCGATGATTTTCAATTCAGCAACGCCAGAGAAAAATTGAGCAAGCCCGCGAACCCGACCCAGAGTGCGTAGGGGAGGAAGAGCGCCGCAGAAACACGATCCGCGCGCCAGTTTTTTCCTACAAACAGAATTATCAATATCAGCATCGCCGCGATCACGGCAAAGGCGGCCCACGTCAGGTGAAAAACAAAAAAGACCGGTGACCAGATCCAGTTCAGTGCCATCTGTCCGTACCAGAATTTCATGGCCATTGACCGAGGTGCTCTCAGAAAGGTCCGCCAACCGGCAACGGCAATGAACACGTACAGAACCGTCCAGACCGGAGCAAAGATCCAGTTCGGAGGGTTGAAAACCGGTTTCTCAAGTTCCTGATACCAACTGCCCGGTGCAGACTGGGTTCCAACAAAAATTCCCATACCGATGACAACGACAAGAAACAGCGCGAGCAACGCTATTGATCGCGGTCGGCGGGGCTGGGTTGGATCGTCGATGGTCATATTAGGGCACACCAGGTTGCATTTGGTCCCAAACTGTCATGTCCCCGGCACCTTTTCCAGAACCGTGTCGCTGTTGATGAGAACCGATTCATATCCCTTGAATTGAAATCGGGTGAAAACACCTGACCGCTTCCGAAATCGAATGCGGAATATCGCCCTGTTTTCACCGCTCTATCGCGTTACCGCGTCTAATCACCGAAAAACCTGAATATTAGAGTCGACTTTAAATTTCAGATTTGGTATTGCTGCGACGCAATCTAACTATTGGAAAACGCTATGTCTTTCTTCAAACGCGTAGGCGCACTCACGTGCGTGTTCGTGGCCGGTAGCCTGTTGGCTGCTCACTCCACAACCGCTCAAGCGGAAGCTCTTACCTTCACCGATATTGCTGGCCGGGAAGTCACCCTGCCGGAGATGCCGGACAAGATCATTCTCGGCGAAGGCCGAATGATGTACGGGATCGCACCGCTCATCGAAGGCAATCCGTTCGAGAAGATCGTCGGCTGGAAAAGTGACCTGGTCCAGTACGATCCGGATGCGTTCCGCAAGTACCAGGGCGTATTCCCGGACGATACGGCGCGGATGATCGACTTCGGCAATCCTTATGCTGGTGATTTTTCCATTGAAGCCGTGCTGGAGGCGGAAACAGACCTGGTGTTGCTTGATGTCGGCAACCTCTTCAAGGCCGAAGAAACAGGCCTCATCGAAAAGCTCGGCAATGCCGGCGTTCAGGTCGCCTTTATCGATTTCCGCCGCAACGCCACGGAGAATGCAGTGCCTTCGATGCTGATCCTCGGCCGGATTTTCGGCGAGGAAAAACGCGCTGCAGAATTTATCGATTTCTACATCGCGCAGATGCGCAAGGTAACGAATATTGTCGACACGATCCCGGCCGAAGACCGCCCGCTTGTCGTCGTTGAAAATGCCGCCGGATGGCAGACCGATTTCTGCTGCCGGTCATTCGGCCCCTATAATTACGGCCGTTTCGTCGAACTCGCCGGAGGCAAGAACTACGGGTCCACGCTTGCCAATGCCTATTCCGTTGATCTGAACCTGGAAGGCATCATCGAAGCGGATCCCGATGTTGTGTTCGGCACAGGTGCGAACTGGAAAGAAGCACGTCCGGAAGTCACCTCGACACTGCTTGGCTACGACGGCGATCCGGAAGTGAACGGCGACCGCCTTTCTGCGCTTGCCGCCCGCCCTGGTTTCGCTGATTTGCGTGCCGTCAAGGAAGGCCGATTCCACTCGATCTATCACCAGTTCTACAATTCACCGTATCACTTCGTGGCAGTCCAGGTCCTGGCGAAATGGCTGCATCCGGAGGATTTTGAAGATCTTGATCCGGAGGCAACCTTCAAGGAACTGCACGGCAGGTTCCTTCCTTATGAGCCTTCCGGTCAATTCTGGATCTCCCTGAACAACTAGAACCGACACACCCGATGGCTCCGCAATATCTGATTGCGGGGCCTGTTTTTCATGGAATTTTCATGTCTGACGGAACCTTGCTAACATCAGAGGCGTTGTCACTTGTACGTGCCTACAAACGACGCAGCATGCGCCGTATTACCCTCGTAATTCTTGCCTTTTTTTGCCTTGCCGTCCTGGTCGTCATCGATGTCACCACCGGCCCGGCCGATCTGACAATCTGGCGAACGATTGAAGTGATCTTCGATCGCGCCAGCGCCACTCCCAAAGAAGACGTCATCATCTGGCAACTGCGCCTTCCGGTCGCCATCATGGCCGTCGCAGTGGGCGCAATGCTCGGTGTCGCCGGTGCAGAAATGCAGACGATCCTCAACAATCCGCTCGCCGATCCGTTTACGCTTGGGCTGAGTTCTGCAGCCGGATTCGGCGCTGCCCTTGCCATCGTGCTCGGCTGGTCTGTGATCCCGGGTGTTGGAGGACTGTTCGTTTCGGTGAACGCGTTTGTATTCGCGATGATTACGTCCTGCGCCTTGTTCCTGTTTACCAGATTGCGCGGCGTCACTCCGGAAGCCATGATCCTTGTCGGAATCGCAATGCTGTTCACTTTCAACGCGTTGCTGGCCTTTCTGCAATACGGCGCTTCGGAAATTCAACTCGCGCAGCTGATTTTCTGGCAATTGGGTTCCCTTGCCCGTGCCACGTGGTCAAAGGTTGGCATCTGCTTCCTGATCCTTGTACTCACCCTGCCCTGGTTCATGAACCGCTCCTGGGCATTGACCGCGCTGCGCATGGGCGAGGACAAGGCAGCCGCGCTGGGCGTCAATGTCTCCATATTGCGGATCGGAGTGCTTGCCGGCGTTTCTCTGCTTTCCGCCGTCGCGGTCTCCTTTGTTGGGGCCATTGCCTTCGTCGGTCTCGTCGGACCGCACATAGCACGCATGATCGTTGGTGAAGACCAGCGCGGTTTTCTGCCGTTGTCCGCCTTGTGCGGTGCCCTTATTCTCTCCGGTACGTCAATAGCATCGAAGGCAATCACACCTGGTATCGTCTACCCGATCGGCATGATCACCTCGCTGATCGGCATTCCTTTCTTCATTCTGCTCATTCTCGGGCAGAGAAAGAGGCACTGGCAATGAGTGCGCTGTCTGCCGAGAACATCAGCTTCTCTTATGGTTCGAGACAAATTTTCGACGCCATCGCCTTCGAACCGATTGTCCCCGGACAGCTTACCGCTCTCATCGGGCCGAATGCGGCCGGCAAATCTACCCTGTTTCGTCTGATTGCAGGGCTTTTGCCCCTCCAGTCAGGCAAGGTCCACCTCGGCAATATCGACCTCGACAGCCTTTCGACTCGCGCGAGGCTTAAGCGTGTGTGTTTCATGCCGCAGTTTTTTACCGCGAATGCGGCTCTTACCGTCTTCGATGTAGTCATGATGGCGCACAAACAGTTGAAGGGTTGGCGCGTCAGCGATGCAGACATGATTGCGGTCGGTACGGCTCTGCATGAGGCCGGCATCGGTCATCTGGCCGAAGCCTATGTGAGCGAGCTCTCCGGAGGGCAGTCGCAACTGGTTTCGGTAACGCAAGCGCTGATCCGGAATTCGGATGTCTATCTGTTTGACGAGCCGACATCCGCACTCGACCTGCGCCACCAACTGGACGTGTTAGGTCAGATAAAGTCGGCGGTCGTCCGGCGCGGTGCCGTCGGTGTCGTCGCGCTTCACGATCTCAATCTGGCTGCTCGTTTCGCGGACAATCTGATCCTGCTCGGTGAAGGCCGAATTCTGGCACAGGGTTCACCCAGGCAGGTGCTGCGCGCGAATGCGATTGCCAAGACTTACGGGGTTGCGATCGAGACTTCACAGGGGCCCAGAGAGGAACTCATCGTCCATGCTTACGCGTCGTAATTTCATGTTTTCCGTGGCTGCAATGGCGGGCACCGGGTCTGCACTGGCCTGCCCGGCTCCAGCGTCGGTCGGTAATGCGCACAGCGTCCTGATGCTAAATGCGGCTTGTGGGGATCCTGACACGCCGAATGTGTTTGAACCCGCGATTCTAAGGATCAAACCCGGCGACAGTGTCACGTTCGTCCCGACTGACGCAGGCCACAATTCTGCATCGAAACGCGGAATGATCCCGAACGGTGCGGACGCCTGGAACGGAGCAATGGACACAAACCTGACAGTCGAATTTCCGATACCGGGCATTTACGGGCACATCTGCCTGCCACACTACGAATGGGGAATGGTGGGTCTGATCGTGGTTGGAAATGACCTGTCGAATCTGCATTCCGTGAAAAAGGTCAGGCACCCGGGCAGCGCGCGCAAAGTCTTTCGTTCGCTCCTGAAAGAGCTTGAAGCATAGGAATTGTCGTGAGCGAGAATCTGATTGATACCTGGTCGAAACGTGATGCTGAAGAAGACAGCATGACAACAGAACACGCCTGGATCTGGCGAGAAATGATTGCAGCGGTCGGCGAGACTGATTTCACCAACGCAAAAGTTCTCGATTTCGGCTGCAATCAGGGTGGATTTCTGAGACTGCTTTATGACCTTCGTCGCTATGCCGCTGCCGTTGGAGTGGATATCGCACAGAAAGCTATTGCGCGCGCTGAAGCTCAAAAAGGCGATCGGCCCATCACCTATCGCGCCACAGACCGATTGTCGGATATCGGAGATGGTTTTGACATCGCTTTCAGTCACGAAGTCATCTACCTGATCGAAGATCTTGAGCGGCACGCCGGCGACATCAGGAAGGTTTTGAAACCGGGAGGGGATTATTATGCGGTCACCTGCTGTCACAGTGACAGTCCGCTCTGGCACTCCTGGCGACCCAAAATTCAGGAGTTTTCAAACGTTCCGGTCCCAAATCACAGTGTGTCGGATATTGCCGAGGCCTTTCGGCGCGCCGGGTTTCAGGTTTCGGTTCAGCGATTTCTGGCAAGCGCCTTCGTGCCTCTCGGCGGCGCGAGTGACTATTTTCCGACGGATGTCGACCGCATTGAGACTTACAGTCGCTGGAAGCTCATGTTCCAGTTCACATCAGGCGCCTAGAAAGACACTGTTCGAATTCTGTCAGGGTGTCCCTGACGCCAGACATGCCGTCCTTCGCCAGTATTTTTTCAAACCTTATGTTGGCAAGAGCCAATCCAACGCGTATCAGACGCAAACACTATCATAAGCTCTTTCAATGAGCGGACCGCCTGTTTTAAACTGTGCGTTCGTCAAGACTGGCATTGGGCAGGTGAATGCACTCAGTTGATATTGCGATGGCGCTGACCTTTCTGGTGATCGCGTCGACCGTTATCCTGTACGCCTTGGAGCGCTATCCGATTGAAACGGTCGCTCTGGGGTCAGTGACCGCGTTCATTGTCATTTTTTCTGTTCTTCCGGTCGAAACACCTGACGGCAAGGCCGTAACCACCGCCGATTTTCTAACCGGGTTCGCAAATCCCGCGCTGGTCACCGTGATCTGCCTGCTGATCATCGGCCAGGGATTGTTCCAGACGGATGCGCTGGAAGGGCCGGCAAAGGCAATCGTGAGGATGACACGCGGCCGCTCGGCATTTGCGACCATTCCGATACTGCTCGCTGTGGCCGTTCTCAGCGCCTTCCTGAACAACACTCCCGTTGTCGTCATGTTCCTGCCGATCCTGACCGCAGTTGCCGCCACGGTCGGGCAGTCGCCTTCCCGTGTCCTGATGCCGCTGTCGTTCATTGCGATTCTCGGTGGCATGATCACGCTGATCGGGTCGTCCACCAACCTTCTGGTCGCCAACTACGCCGCGCAGACCTCCGATCTCAGGCTGACCTTCTTCAGTTTCACGCCGATCGGTCTGATCGTGGCGAGCGCCGGAGCGGTCTATGTGTTCTTCGTCATGCCGTATCTGATGACCACACGGAAAACCATGGCAGAGGAATTCCAACCAACTTCGGGCAAGCAGTTCATTGCCCAGATCGAAATCACATACGGACATCCCCTTGTCGGGGTCGAGGCTGTCTCGGGCATGTTCCCCAATCTGAAGGACATGACCGTCCGACTGGTTCAACGCGGGCAAAAACCCATCCTGCCACCTTTCGAAAACGTGGTTCTGTCGCCGGGGGACACGGTCATCGTCGCAGCGACACGGAACGCGCTTGCAAACGCGCTGGCGCGCCGCCAGCCTCTGATGGAGACCGACGCGGAAAACAGTAGCGCAGGACGAGATCAGCAGCCGGTTCAGCCTGGCTCCATCAGCCTTGCCGAGGTGGTTGTCGCGCCCGCGTCCAGACTGATGGGCAGAACTTTGCCGCAATCGGGGTTTTATGCCGACACAGGCTGTCTCGTCATGGGCATTCAGAGACGCAGTCGCATGCCGCGCATGGCAATGAACGACATCCGGCTTGAAGCGGGAGACGTTCTGCTGGTCGCCGGAAATGAAGGCGAGATCGGACGCCTGCGTGGCAACAGGGACGTCCTTCTTCTGGACTGGTCAACAACGGAGGTGCCGCGCCGGCGTTACGCGCCACGAGCACTGGCCATTTTCGCATGTGTGGTCATTCTGGCCGCTACCGGACTGGTCCCGATCGTATCGGCTGCCATCGGCGGCACATTTGCGATGATTGCGTCTGGTTGCCTCAACATTCGCCAGGCCATGCGGGCGATCGACAGCCGGATCTTCATGCTCGTCGGCGCATCGCTTGCCGCGGCAGTCGCGCTGGAAGCGACGGGTGGTGCAACCGCAATTGCCACAGGGCTCGTTTACGTGCTGCAAGGGGCATCGGCAGCGACAATTTTGTCGGCACTTTTCTTCATCGTCATGGTACTGACGAACTTTCTTTCCAACAATGCAGCCGCCGTTCTGTTCACTCCAATCGCCATCAACCTGGCCAACCAGATCGGACAACCGCCGGAAGCATTCGTGGTCTGCCTGATCATCGCGGCCAATACTTCCTTCGCAACACCGGTGGGCTATCAGACCAACCTGATCGTCATGGGTCCGGGTCACTACAGATTTAGCGACTTCATCCGGGCCGGAGCACCGCTTGCGCTTATTTTATGGTTGACCTTCTCGTTGGTCGCGCCATGGTATTACGGGATGTAGAACAAGATTTGAGGTATCTCGGGACAACACGGTGACACGCCACCCAACAGACCATCCGCAATTCTATCTTACCGCGCCTGCGCCCTGCCCTTATCTGGGCGGCAAGCAGGAGCGTAAGGTGTTCACGCATCTGGTGGGACATGGTGCCCCGGCCCTCAACGAGGTTCTGACGCAGGGCGGTTTCCGGCGCAGTCAGAACATTGCCTACCGCCCGGCATGCGAACAGTGCCAGGCGTGCGTTTCCGTTCGGGTCCGCGTCAACGATTTCAAATGGAGCAAATCGTTCAAACGTGTCTGGAAAACCGGTTCAGAGCTGATCGGTGCACGGCTCCCGGCCAGCCCTTCCGCGGAACAGTACGATCTGTTCAGGGACTATCTGCAGGAACGTCATGAAGACGGCGGCATGACCGAAATGAGCGTTCTCGATTACGCGATGATGGTCGAGGATACCCATGTCGAAACGTTGGTGATCGAGTATCGCAGAAGGGGACCAGACAGTTTCGTTACCGGAACCGGCGACGGCCCTCTGCTTGGCGTTGCGCTCAGTGATCAACTGTCCGACGGGCTTTCCATGGTCTATTCCTTTTACGACCCCAATTACACCGACACGGCGCTCGGCACCTACATGATCCTGGATCACATCGAACGCGCACGCAAAATGCGCCTTCCCTATGTCTATCTCGGGTACTGGGTCGGAGGATCAGCGAAGATGGCCTACAAGGCGCGCTTCAGACCTCAAGAGCATCTAGGCCCCAACGGCTGGACCATCGCAGACACCGAGGCAACGAACTCTGAAACCTGACCAGTCTGCAGACCGGTTGTCAGGCCTCGGGAATATGAGTGCGGATCTTGTCGAATACCGACCGGAACATGTCTTCGGTCAGACGGCCGGTGTTGGTGTTGTATCGGGAGCAATGATAGCTGTCGAATAGCGACATATCATGTCCCGGGAGGTCATGTTCCGCGCAATGAGCGAACGGAAAACTGGCGCGTCGCAATTCAAGGGCGGACAGGAAGGTCTCATGCGCGATCCGGCCAAGCGCAAGCACTGCGCGGATGGACGGATTGGCGGCCAACGTGGACAGCAGATAGGGCCTGCAGGTCCTGATCTCCGGTCCTGTTGGCTTGTTCTGAGGGGGAAGGCAGCGGACTGCATTGGTGATCATTGCGTCGCAAAGTGTCAGCCCGTCATCTGACCGTGCCAGATAAGTGCCTCGTGCAAATCCGTATTCAAGCAAGGTTTGATAAAGAAGATCGCCGGCATAGTCCCCGGTGAAAGGCCGTCCCGTACAATTGGCCCCTTTCATGCCGGGGGCCAGACCTATGATGAGCAGCCGCGGTGCTTTTGACGTAAATGAAGCCACCGGGGCATTGTGCCAATCAGGATGCACCGCCCGCAGTTCTTCGCGAAACGCCACCAGACGCGGACAGTCCGGACAATCCATGGGTGGATCGACCGGACCGGTATTTCCTTCAAGTCCAGACATCAGGGGAACTCAGTAGTCGTCCTCGTCGTCGTGGTCCATCTGCGGTGCCATTTGCGGGCGCACCGGACGCTCCGACGGATCCCGGCCGATCTTGTTGGCAAGACTTGCCAGATCAATAAAATGATCCGCCTGACGGCGAAGATCGTCGGCAATCATGGGCGGCTGGGTTTTCAAGGTGGACACCACGCTGACTTTGCGCCCCTTGCGTTGAAGCGCCTCTACCAGCGATCTGAAATCGCCATCACCCGAAAACAGAACGATATGGTCAACTGTTTCAACAAGTTCCATGGCATCGACAGCAAGTTCGATATCCATGTTGCCTTTGACTTTCCGTCTTCCGGCACTGTCGACGAATTCCTTTACCGGCTTGGTAATAACCTTGTAGCCGTTGTAATCCAGCCAATCTATAAGTGGCCGAATGGACGAGTATTCCTGATCCTCGATCAGCGCAGTATAATAATACGCGCGCAAAAGATATGCCTGTCCCTGGAACTCCTTCAACAGCCGTTTATAGTCGATATCAAAACCGATCGCCTTGGCCGTCGAATACAAGTTGGCTCCGTCAATGAACAAAGCAACTTTTTCTCGAGCGTCAAACATATTAGATGAAACCTTTCCGAGTTAAATGCGTCTTCAAGGAGAGTCACCAACGGTCCGGCACCCGCAGCCGCAGTCGTTCATGTCTACCAATAAGGTCAACGCATTTTTGCTGAGATGACACCTACCGCACATTGCCGCTTCACTCAGCTTATTGTTTTGTTTTTCCCACCGACCCTGTTGATTCTTGTAGGTCCGCTGTAGTGCCCTACACTATAATATTGGACCGCCGCAACGCAAAAGCGAGTGGAGCTAAGAAAAATCGATAAAAACCCTGCTAAAAGTGACGTTTTCCTCCCAAATCCGACAAGGGGTTGCTTTTTCGAATAGTGATCTCTATACGCTGTTTTTTCAAGTTCATTTAGCCTATGGAGACGTCGAATGGCGCGCGTGACCGTCGAGGACTGCATCGACAAGGTCGAAAACCGGTTTGAGCTGGTGCTGCTTGCTGCGCATCGCGCTCGCATGATCTCTAGCGGTTCGCCGCTGACAATTGATCGCGACAATGACAAGAATCCCGTCGTTGCGCTGCGCGAGATCGCCGAGCAGACCGTCAGCCCGGAAGACATGAAAGAAGACCTGATCCACTCGCTTCAGAAGTTCGTGGAAGTGGACGAACCCGAGACAGAGGCTGTGCCGGTTGTTCCGTCCGCCAATCAGCATCAGGTAACCCAGGTCAACAACGTGGACGACGGTGCGGTGGAATTCGACCGCATGTCCGAGGAAGATCTGTTGCGCGGTCTGGAAGGTCTGGTTCCGCCGGAGCGGACCGACGACGTCTGATTTTTCGTCCAGTTCCCGCCTGAATTGCGGATGTTTTCCCGCGTTGTTTCAGGCGGATTTTCTTTATCCGACTGATATCTCAGCCGGTTTTCTGGGTCGGTTGCGGCCATGATGCGTCAATATGAACTCGTTGAACGAGTTACGCGTTACAATCCGGAAGCTGACGAAGCCTTGCTCAACAAGGCTTATGTCTATGCCATGCAAAAGCACGGCTCCCAGATGCGGGCATCCGGCGACCCCTATTTTTCACATCCCCTCGAAGTCGCTGCGATCCTGACCGATCTTCGGCTGGATGACGCAACCATCGCAGTCGCCCTTCTTCATGACACCATCGAAGATACGGACGCGACCCGGGCTGAAATCGACTCCCTGTTCGGTGAGGAGATCGGCAAGCTGGTCGAGGGCCTGACGAAAATCAAGCGACTTGATCTGGTCTCTCAAAAGGCCAAGCAGGCAGAAAACTTCCGCAAGCTGTTGCTCGCCATCGCGGACGATGTGCGTGTCCTGCTGGTCAAACTTGCGGACCGGTTGCACAACATGCGCACCCTGCAGCACATGCCGCAGCACAAGCGCGGCCGGATTGCCGAAGAAACAATGGAAATCTATGCCCCGCTCGCCGGACGCATGGGCATGCACGACATGCGTGAGGAGCTGGAAGACATCTCCTTTCATATCCTCAACCCGGAAGCCTACGAAACCATCACGGACCGGCTTGCGGATCTGCGGGAGAAAAACCGGGACCTGATTGCCGACATTGAAACGACGCTGACCGAACGCCTCAGCGAACGCGGCATGGCGGCCGAGGTCACGGGACGCGAAAAACGCCCCTATTCGATCTTTCGTAAAATGCAGCGCAAGGCCATTGGATTTGAGCAACTCTCCGACATTTACGGTTTCCGTGTAACGGTCGGAACCGTCGAAGCCTGCTATCGCGTCCTCGGCGTGATCCATACGACCTGGCCAACGGTTCCCGGGCGCTTCAAGGATTACATCTCCACGCCGAAGCAGAATGACTACAAGTCAATCCACACAACAATCGTCGGCCCTTCACGACAGCGGGTCGAGCTGCAAATCCGGACAATTTCCATGGACCGGGTCGCAGAATACGGCATTGCAGCCCACGCGCTTTACAAGGATGGCGAGTTCGGCGGCAGGAATATTGCGCGCCATACGGAAGACTGCCGTGCCTTTGAATGGCTGCGCCGCACCACGGAACTGCTGGCGCAGGGCGATACGCCTGAAGAATTTCTTGAGAACACCAAGCTGGAACTGTTCCACGACCAGGTGTTCTGTTTCACACCGAAAGGCCGTTTGATCGCCCTTCCGCGCGGCGCAACCCCGATCGATTTCGCTTACGCGGTTCACACCGGCATCGGCAACACCTGTGTCGGCTGCAAGATCAACGGCAAGATCATGCCGCTCGTGACAGAGCTTCACAACGGCGACGAGGTGGAAATTATCCGCTCGCCCGCCCAGACACCTCCTCCGGCCTGGGAAGCGATCGCAGTGACCGGCAAGGCCCGCGCCGCGATCAGGCGCGCGACCCGCGAATCCGTCCGCAAACAATATGGCGCTCTGGGTGAACACATTCTGATGCGGGCGTTCGCACGCGCGGACAAGGTGTTTTCAGAAGATCTTCTTGAAGCGGTTCTGGGAAGACACCATCAGTCGAGCGTCGCCGACCTGATGGCCGCGGTCGGCAGGGGCGATCTCAGCGCGCAAGCTGTCTTGAAGTCGACCCATCCGGACTATCAGGACGAGAGGGTTGCGATATCCGGTCCGCCAATGGAAGAAGGCTGGTTCGGCCTGAAGCAGGGTCACGGTCTGAAGTTCCGGATCCCTCCCGGTGACCTGGAAGACGGCAAATCCCGGTCAGACCAGGAAACCGATCTCGGCGAAGGTCCTGCCCTGCCCATCCGTGGATTGTCAGGTGACATTCCGGTCAGTTTCGCTCCCGATGGCGGTGCCGTTCCCGGAGATCGGATTGTCGGCATCTTGATCCCTTCGGACGGACTGACCATCTATCCGATACAATCGCCGTCGCTCAAGGAATTCGATGACCAGACTGAACGTTGGGTGGACGTGCGTTGGGACATTGATATCAACAACCCGGAGCGTTTTCCGGCGCGCCTGGATATTTCGGCTGCAAACGAGCCCGGCTCTCTGGCTGCAATTGCACAGGTCATTGGCGAGAACAGCGGAAATATCGATAATGTGAAGATGGTCCAAAGGGCCTCTGACTTCCACCAAATGATCATTGACCTGGAGGTCTGGGACCTGAAACACCTGAACCGCATTATCAATCAATTGCGTTCAAAGCCGAATGTTTCAAGCGTCAACCGGGTCAACGGATAAGATGCAGATTAACAGGGATCCTGATTCATGAACCGCGACGAAGTGTTGTCCTTATTCCGCGAAGCCGGCGCAATCCTGGAAGGGCATTTTATCCTGACATCAGGACTGCGCAGCCCCGTCTTTCTTCAAAAGGCACGGGTATTCATGTATCCGGACAAGACTGAAAAACTTTGCAAGGCATTGGCAGACAAGATCCGGGATGCCGGTCTTGATGATGTCGACTACATCATCTCCCCTGCACTCGGCGGTCTGATTCCCGGGTATGAAACGGCACGTCATCTGGATGTCCCGGCCATGTGGGTCGAACGCGAAGACGGCGAATTCAGGCTCCGCCGCTTCGATCTTCCCAAAGGGGCAAGAGTGATTGTCGTTGAGGATATAGTAACGACAGGTCTATCGAGCCGGGAAACGGTAACCTCGTTGAAAGCTCTTGGTGCTGAAGTCCTTGGCGTGGCCTGCCTGATCGACCGGTCCGGTGGCGAAGCTGACGCGTCGGTTCCGATCATTGCACTGGCCGAATACAAGGTACCGGCTTACGAGCCGGATAACCTGCCACCCGAACTGGCAGCTCTTCCGGCCATAAAACCGGGAAGCCGCGGCCTGAGCTGAACAAGAACGACCTGACAGGACAAGAAACCAATTCATGCTGTTCCAACGCAGAAATAGACCATCGCGCATCGAGCGCCTGCGCGTTGCGGTCTGGCCCCGGAACAGCTGGGCCCGCTCAACGAGATATTTCGGCAAACGGGTCCTCAGACTTACCGCAACCCCGCATGCTATTGCAGTCGGATTTGCTGCCGGTGCCTTTGCGTCTTGTACGCCCCTGGTCGGGTTCCACTTTCTGACGGCGTTCGGCGCTGCTTACATTGTGCGCGGAAACATGATTGCCGCCGCGCTCGGAACGTCAATCGGCAATCCCCTCACGTTTCCGTTCATCTGGGCTTTCACTTTCAAGATCGGCCAGTGGATCCTGCATGGAAGAGCTCCGAAAGCGGATCCGCATCAGGTTCACCAGAGGTTTCAGGAAGGTCTGTTCGAAAAGTCTTTCGATGCCCTCTGGCCCATGCTCAAGCCAATGTTTATCGGAGCAGTTCCTCTCGGTCTTGTTGTCGGCACGCTTTCATATGTCATCGTGTACAAGAGTGTGGAAGTCTATCAACGCCGCAGGCGCCAGACACTGGCAAACACCGACAAAACTCCCTATTCCGCACCTGCTTCAACCGTTGAAGAAGACGGCAATGGTTGAGTTTTCCCAAAACCTGCCCAAATAAAGCGTCGCAGACAATTCAAAGACGGATCAAAGACTGATGATCTTGGGAATCGGCGGCGACCTGATCGATATTCGGCGGATCGAAAAAACCCTGAAACGGATCGGCGACCGTTTCACAAACAGGGTCTTTACCGAAATTGAACGGACCAGGTCCGACAGACGCACTGAGCGGGCTGCGTCCAACGCCAAGCGTCTTGCTGCCATGATACCGAGTGGTTTCCGGACCACAATCGATCTGACCTTCCCGGACAAATTCCCGCTCGCGCAGGCATTTTCCGTCATTTCCGCCTGGCCGTCCCGCTGGCCAGAACTCCCATCAACAGGTTCTGCATGAACAGCGACTTTGACGGTGTTCGTCGCATTGCTTCCGCCGACGTGAACCGTTAAGAGTTCCGCTCGGGTACGGCCACGAGAATCTGAACCGCCAACAATTGCTTCAAGGGATATTATGAGCGTGTCTGAAAACAAGAAAGAAACGGACGGCGGTCTTTACGAGACTGTGAAGGTCGTAGTTCAGGCACTGCTTCTTGCCCTTATTGTGCGGACGTTCCTTTTCCAGCCATTCAACATTCCCTCCGGATCCATGAAGGATACGTTGCTGATCGGCGACTATCTGTTCGTCTCCAAATACAGCTATGGCTATTCGCGCTATTCGTTTCCATTCGGGATTGTTCCGTTTTCAGGAAGGATCTGGTCCGAGGAACCCGAGCGTGGTGACGTAGCGGTGTTCAAATTGCCGACAGACACCTCAATCGATTACATCAAGCGCGTGATAGGTTTGCCAGGCGATACGATCCAGGTTCTGGAAGGCGTGGTCCATATCAATGGAGAGCCCGTCAAGCGGGAGCAAATCGATGACTATATCGAGACTTCACCATCCGGTGCAGTCCGCCGCGTTCCCCGCTTCCGTGAAACCCTGCCAAACGGCGTTTCTTACGACACACTCGAACTGACGACACGCGGGCAATTGGACAATACGCGTGAATACGAGGTGCCGGAAGGTCACTTCTTCATGATGGGCGATAACCGGGACAACTCGATTGACAGCCGGGTTCTGGCCAAAGTCGGATATGTGCCACTTGAAAATTTCATGGGACGCGCCGAAATTCTGTTCTTCTCGGTTGGTGACGGTAAGCCGGCGTGGCACATCTGGAGCTGGCCATGGACAGTGCGCTGGGATCGCATCGGCAGAACACTCTGAGGAATAGCCGAGTGGAGGCCCGACTGCCCCATGGCCAAAAGCAGGCTGCATGACACAAAAGCGAAAACAAAACGCGGTATCGGCGCTCAAGGCAGCCTTGCAGTACGAGTTCAGTGATCTTGAGCTTCTCAGGGTTGCCCTGACACACGCAAGTGCCCTTGCCCCGTCAGAAACCGTATCAGGTAGCTATCAACGGCTCGAATTCCTTGGCGACCGTGTGCTCGGCCTTGCAATTGCTTCCATGCTGCACTTGCATTTTCCAAAGGCGGATGAAGGAGAGCTCGCTCGGCGATTCAACCACATGGTCAAACGCGAAACCTGCGCCGAAATCGCGCAAGAGCTCGGCGTCGGCGATGCCATGCGGATCGGACTAGCGGAAGCGCAGACCGGCGGCCGAAAAAAGACGGCACTGCTGGCCGATATCTGTGAGGCCGTAATTGCCGCCATTTACCTGGACGGCGGCTTTGAGGCGGCTGCAGACTTTGTAAAGCGCCTTTGGGAACCGCGTATGTTATCGTGGACGGGCCCGTTGCGCGATGCCAAGACCACGCTGCAGGAATGGGCTCAATCGAAGAGCCTGCCGACGCCACATTACGAAGTCACTGGGCGCGACGGCCCGGACCACGAACCCAGCTTTACCGTCTCGGTGATCGTGCGGGGGCTGGCGTCCGGCGAGGGCAAGGGAGGCTCGAAGCGTATCGCGGAACAGAACGCCGCTGAAGCAGTCTTGCGCCGGGAAGGCGTCTGGAAGGAATAACAGTATTTTGAGCGACGAGAACGACACAGGCGAACCGATTGACGAGGATGAAGGGTTTGTGCCGCCGAAAGGCCGGTTCGACATTCCCTTGCCTGAACCGCTTGCCCAGATGCCGAGCGACACGAAGGCCGGGTTCATAGCTTTGATCGGCGCTCCCAACGCGGGCAAGTCGACCCTGATCAATCAACTCGTCGGCACCAAGGTTTCGATTGTCACGCACAAGGTGCAGACAACACGCTCGATCGTACGCGGTGTCGCGATGCACGGCTCTGCGCAACTGGTCTTCATCGACACACCGGGAATTTTCAAGCCGAAGCGCCGTCTCGACCGGGCAATGGTCGACACTGCCTGGGGCGGCGCCCGCGACGCCGACCTGATCGCTCTGCTCATCGATGCGCGCAAGGGGATCGATGAGGAGGTTGAAAACATTCTCAAACGCCTCAAGAGCCAGTCCGCGCCCAAGGTTCTGATCCTCAACAAGACCGATGTCGCAAAACGGGAAAAGCTTCTGCAGCTTGCGCAAAGGGCCAACGAATATCTGGAATTCGAGGAAACATTCATGGTCTCGGCCCTTACCGGAGACGGTATCGCGACCATACTCGATCACTTCGCCTCGAAGGTACCTGAAGGACCTTGGCTCTACCCGGACGACCAGCCGTCCGACCTGCCGCTGCGTATTCTGGCCGCTGAAATCACCCGGGAAAAACTGTTCGAACGCCTGCATCAGGAACTGCCCTATATCTCAACGGTGGAAACCGAACAGTGGCAGACACGCAAGGATGGATCCGCACGCATCGAACAGACCATCTATGTTGAACGGAGCAGTCAGAAAAGCATTGTTCTGGGCAAGGGCGGGCAGACGATCAAGGCAATCTCAAAGGCTGCCCGGGAAGAACTCTCCGACATCATCGAGACCCCCGTGCATCTGTTTCTTTTCGTGAAAGTGCGCGAAAACTGGGCCGACGATCCCGAACGCTACCGGGAGATGGGTCTCGAATTTCCGAAGTGATTGAGGGTAAGGTCGAATCCAGTCTTGAATCGGCCAAATCTAGCGCAGGGTATTGGACTTGGAGTGGACCAGCCGCGGCGTGGTACTGACCACACGCAAGCACGGCGAAAACGACATCATTCTGGAGGCCCTGACCCTCGATCATGGCCGGCACCTGGGCCTTGTCCGGGGTGGCCGCTCCCAACGCAACCGGCCCTTTCTGCAACCCGGCAACGAACTGGATCTGACCTGGAAAGCGCGCCTGGCGGATCACCTCGGGCATTTCCAGCTCGAAGCGCAGACACTGCGTGCCGGCGAACTCATGACGACAGCGATCGGCCTCGCCAGTCTGCAGCACCTCGCATTCCTTTTGCGATTACTGCCGGAACGGCACCCCTACCCGCACCTTTACGACGCCCTGAACGTGGTTCTGGAGCATCTTGACGAACCCGATGCCGCAGCCGCTCTGCTGATCCGTTTCGAACTGGAACTGTTGCGGGACCTTGGAACCGGCCTTGATCTGGAGGCTTGCGCCGCGACGGGCCAAAAGGATGATCTGGTCTATGTCTCGCCCAAATCCGCGCGTGCGGTCAGCCGGGAGGCCGGCAAGCCCTATCACGACAAGTTGCTTCCCCTGCCCTCGTTTCTTGTCGATGGCCAGCGCCAGGCTGGAAGTGAGCTGACATGGACCGATGTCACGCAAGGCTTTGAGCTGACAAGCTTCTTCGTATCACGCCATTTACGGGAGCGTGACGGTACCGACGGTGGCACACGCGAGCAGGTCATGAGCGCCCTGGAACGACGCTACCGAGAGAATTTTCCCTGGAATTTCCTATAGCTGTCAGTCGTCTATCGGACCGACGAGGCGCCAAACGAAACTTTTTTCCGAGCCAGAATAATAAATGTGTTTCGCGACACCCTTGACGCTCTCAATCGGTACAAAACCCGTTGCTGACAAAACCCGGCTATCGATGGAGTTGTCACGATTGTCTCCCATGAAGAATAGATGTCCTTCCGGCACGACATATTCTTGTGTGTTGTCAAGCTGACCATCCTCGACATATTCCAGAACTTGGTATTGCCTTCCGTTTGGCAAGGTCTCGATGAACCTCTTCATCGTTTCACCAGTAAGCGACCCGTTACCAACAACGAAATCGTCTTTCCAAACGCGCTCTATGGGTACGTCGTTAATGAAAACCTCACCCATTCGGACCTGAATCCGCTCTCCAGGCAAACCGATCAACCGTTTTACGTAATCCGCACCAGCCTTGTCATTCCAGAACACAAGGACATCTCCGCGATTTGGGCTGTATTTTTCCCCAAACACCGAAAACACCTTTTTTATCAGGAATTGATCACCGACCTCCAATGTCGGCAGCATACTGGAAGCTGGAATATTGTAATGTTTCGCTCTGTGTAAATAAGAACCCGAAATCTCAGCCAAAAACAAAACAACAACAACTGCAAAAAACAATAAAATAATTGACATTTTGGCTTTCTTCGACATTACTTCTTTGTTCCTTTAAACAATGGCAAATTCAAATTCACTATTTATGCTTCATCGTCAAAATCTTCAACTTCAATTTGCACCACGACACTGAATTCAAAAAACCTGAAAAATATGTGTGTCTATATCCACGCGACAAGAGAGTGCCTAAATCCGTTGAAAATCCGTTGAAAATCCGGCCTTTCGGCATGCAATTCCGCTTGGGTGAATTGCGCGGACCATGCGAAACCGCTAGCAAACAGACATGGGAAAAGAGACGACACCACCACCGAGCGGCATTGAAGGGATCAACCTTCGCGATGCGCTGGAAGAACGTTACCTCGCCTATGCACTGTCGACCATCATGCACAGGGCCTTGCCGGATGTCCGAGACGGGCTGAAGCCGGTTCACAGGCGTCTTCTCTATGCGATGCGTCTTTTGAAACTGGATCCCGGCGCAGGCTTCAAGAAATGCGCTCGCGTGGTCGGCGATGTCATCGGTAAATACCATCCGCATGGCGATCAGGCCGTCTATGATGCACTTGTACGCCTCGCCCAGGACTTTGCCCAACGCTATCCGCTGATCGACGGTCAGGGCAATTTCGGCAATGTCGACGGCGACAATGCTGCTGCCATGCGGTACACCGAAGCGCGCATGACCGACACGGCCAAGCGACTGCTCGACGGACTTGACGAAAATGCCGTCGATTTCCGGGAAACCTATGACGGCGAAGACAAGGAACCGATTGTCCTGCCGGGCGGATTCCCGAACCTCCTGGGCAACGGCTCCTCAGGCATCGCCGTCGGCATGGCAACATCGATCCCGCCGCACAACGCCTTTGAGCTCTGCCAGGCATGCCTGCACCTGATCAAGAATCCGAAGGCGGAAGTTGACGAACTGCTGGAGCATATCAAGGGACCGGATTTTCCGACCGGTGGCCTGCTTGTCTCCGACCAGGGCTCCATCCGCGAAGCTTATGCGACCGGACGTGGCAGTTTCCGCGTGCGTGCACGCTGGGAGGTCGAGGATCTTGGCCGCGGGCAATGGGCGATCGTTGTCACTGAAATTCCGTACCAGGTTCAAAAGTCGCGCCTGATCGAAAAGATTGCCGAATTGCTGACAGTCCGGAAACTGCCATTGCTCGACGACGTTCGCGATGAATCTGCCGAGGATATCCGCGTCGTTCTGGTTCCGCGCTCGCGCAATGTCGACGCAAATATCCTGATGGAGTCCCTGTTCAAGCTGACCGACCTGGAAAACCGGTTCTCCTTGAACATGAACGTTCTTTCCATGGGCAAGGTGCCCATGGTGATGGGCGTGAAACAGGTGCTGCGCGAATGGCTCGATCACCGCAAAGTTGTTCTGGTCCGCCGCTCCGAGCACAGACTTGGCCAGATCAACCATCGACTCGAGGTTCTGGAAGGCTATTTGATCGCCTACCTCAATCTGGACGAGGTGATCCGGATCATCCGTGAGGAAGACGATGCCAAGGCCGAACTGATCAGGACCTTTGAACTGACTGACGTCCAGGCGGAAGCCATTCTCAACATGCGCCTGAGATCTCTGCGCAAACTTGAGGAACTGGAGATCCGCAAGGAGCACGGAAAACTCACCGACGAAAAGGACGAGCTCACGAAACTTCTCGGCTCAGACGCCCGTCAATGGACCCGAATTTCCAAGGAAATTGTTGACATTTCCAAGGTCTATGGACCTGAAACGGAAATCGGCAGACGGCGCACCGACAAGTCGGAGGCTCCGGAAGCGGACCTGGTCGACATTCAGCAGGCGATGATCGAAAAGGAACCGATAACCGTCATCATCTCGGAAAAAGGCTGGATCCGTGCCCTCAAAGGGCATCAGAGCGATTTGTCATCCCTGACCTTCAAACAGGGCGACAAGCTGAAACTGTCTTTCCATGCCGAGACGACAGACAAGATCCTCGTGTTCTCGACCGGAGGCAAGTTCTTCACCCTCGGAGCTGATCGATTGCCGGGTGGGCGCGGACACGGCGAACCGATCCGTCTCATGGTCGAGATGGACGAAGCGCAGGATGTGGTGAATGCCTTCGTTCACAAACCTGGGCGAAAGCTTCTTTTGTCCAACAACGAGGCGCGCGGTTTTGTCGTTAGCGAGGATGATGTCATTGCAAACACCCGCAAGGGCAAGCAGGTGCTCAACCTGACGGCCCCGGCGGAAGCAGCCCTTTGTGTCGATGCCACTGGAGATCAGGTGGCGATCATCGGCGAAAACCGGAAATTGCTGGTTTTCCCACTTGCTCAGATCGCGCAAATGGGCAGGGGCCGCGGCGTGCGGCTGCAGCGTTACAGGGACGGAAATGTGTCCGACATCAGGGTTTTCTCCGGCGAAGAGGGACTTACCTGGATCAACAGTTCAGGACGCAGCTTTACCCGTTCGCTGGAAGAACTTACCGATTGGCGCGGAGACAGGGGCCAGGCCGGGCGCCTGCCGCCGACCGGCTTCCCGCGTTCAAACAAGTTCGGTCCCGGCAAACTCTAGCGCGCATCGACGGAATGTCGGATCGCTCACGCGCATTTTTCTGCTGATCAGTCGGTTTGTGCCCACGACAAACGGAAGCCGCCACAATCAGCGGGAGAAAAGACTGGCTAGGGCCTTCGGATGCCGGAAAACACGGCATCGTCTTTCGTGACACAGCTTGCCGAGTGAACCGCATTCAGGCACCAAACGCTTCGACATTCATTGGATGCGCTCCAGGTATCTGAAGCCTGCAGTTAAGAAAGACCGTTGGTGGCGGTTAACTGCCGCCACATACCGGGCGTCATCCCAAATGCCCGTTTGAAGTGTCTCGTCATGTGACTTTGATCGGAAAAGCCACTTTCCACCGCCGCTTCCACAAGTGTTTTTCCCAGAACAAGCAGGCGTTTAACGGTTTCGAGCCGACGCATCACCAGATACCGGTGCGGGCTTGTTCCGAAAACTCTTTTGAACTGCCTCGACAAGGTGAAGCGGTCGAGGTTCGTCATCCCTTCCAAATCACCTACCCGGACCAGTTCCTTATGACTTTCCCTGAGAAACTCGGCGCAGTTTCTGAGCGAAGGCAAGTCGATCGCCTGTCTGTTTCCCAAATCGGATCCGCCAAATTTGCTCAGACACTGTGAGAGTTCGGCAAGCAGATGACTGCGTTTCAATTCTCCCATCTCATGGTCGATGTCTTCAAGGCCCTCCGAAAGGCTCCGCCTGAAGACCGGGTCCGCCAAGACCGGTGTATCGACGAACGGCAAACCCATTGTTCCTGAATGCCCAAGTGCGGTTTGCACGTCCTCCGGCTGGATATAGATCATGCGGTATCGCAGCCCACGTTCAGTCCCTGCCCCACCATCATGAAGCTCGTCGGGATGAATCACGATTATCTGCCCGGGCAACGAGGCGCGTGCCTCGCCACGATATCTGAAAGTCTGCACACCGTTGAGCGTCAGACCGATCGCATAGGTGTCATGTCTGTGAGGGTTGAACCCGTTACCGCGGAACCTTGCCTCGATCCGCTCAACACCCTCCTCCGCAGGCGCCATGCGGATTGCATCAGTTCGTTCGCCGCACAAACGTTCAAGACCATCTGCTTCGATTGCCTCTAGGTTCTTGCAGACCTTCGTTTCTCGAATCCCCCTGGTGGAGTTTTCACCCATGTTTGCTACCAAATTCGTCGTTGTTGTACGGGATGATCTGGCCGTGTGGCAGAAACTAAACGTAACAGCATTTCTTTCAACAGGCATTGCGTCCGCGGCCCCCGGGATTATCGGAGAGAACTACCGCGACGCTGCAGGCAACAGCTATCACCCGATGAGCGTTCAGCCGATCATTGTTCTTGGTGCCGATGAAGCTCTTCTGAAAAAGATCCATGCCCGATCTCTCCAGCGCGGCGTCCGGACGAGCCTTTATGTCGAAGAGATGTTTTCGACCGGACATGATGCCGCCAACCGGGAGGTATTCGGGAAATACACTCCCGAAGAGGCAAGTGTCGTCGGCCTGGCGCTTCATGCCGACCGGAAAACTGCCGACAGGATCACCAAGGGTGCACGCATGCATCCCTGATCAAAAGGCCAACCGCCCAATTCATGACGACTTCCCCCTCGACGGATCGTTTTCCAGCAGGCAATCTGTCTGTCTGGAAAAAATCGGGGAAGACATGACCGGTTCGTTCACATTCAACACCAGCCCACGCATCATTCTTGAAAATGGTGCGGCGTCGAAGATTGATCAACTGGCTGCACATTGCCTTGGTCCGCGCCCGTTTATCGTGACGGATCCCATCATCCTGTCGCTGGGACTGCTCTCGCCGGCGGAGGCCATGCTGAAGGCATGCGGTTATGATTTTGGCCATTTCACAGACGTCGCAGCCGATCCGCCTCGATCACTCGTCGAAGCCGCAGCTGAAGCTGCAATGTCGCACGGAGCGACTTCCGTCATCGGTTTCGGAGGCGGGTCTTCCCTTGACGTTGCGAAGCTCGTCGCGCTGCTTGCGAAAAGCAACGAAAACCTCGACGACGCGTGGGGCATTGGAAATGCAAAAGGTCCGCGCCTGCCTCTCGTGCTTGTTCCGACAACGGCAGGAACGGGTTCGGAAGTCACTCCTATCTCAATCGTCACCGTTGGCGAGGAAGAAAAACGCGGCGTTGTCTCGCCGCTCCTGCTGCCTGACATTGCCATTCTTGACCCGTCCCTGACACTCGGGCTTCCTGCTGCCGTAACAGCCGCAACCGGTATTGATGCCATGGTCCATGCGATCGAGGCCTATGCATCCAAGTCGGCAAACAACAATCCCGTCTCAAGATCGCTGGCGATTGAAGCACTGCGCCTACTTGGGGCCAATATCGAGACGGCAGTCTTTTCACCCGGAAATGTCAACGCAAGAAGCGCAATGCTTGCCGGCTCAATGATGGCGGGAATGGCTTTTGCAAACTCTCCGGTTGCTGCGGTCCACGCGCTGGCCTATCCGCTCGGCGGCATTTTCCATATTCCGCATGGATTGTCGAACGCGCTTGTTCTGCCGCATGTCCTGAGGTTCAACAACAGCGTCGCTGCAGACACTTATTCCGAAATCGCAACTGCGCTGTTTCCAGACCTGTCAGAGACTTCAGACGCAGCAGACCGTGCCGAGGCATTTGCGCAAAGACTGGCGGAACTTTCGTCGAAAATCGGATTGCAAACCCGGCTAAGCGACGTCGGCATCACGGAAAGCAATCTGCCCAAACTGGCGCAAAGCGCGATGATGCAGACCCGTCTTCTGGTCAATAATCCACGCGAACTGACGGAAACGGATGCTCTCGAAATTTACAAAGCCGCTTTATGAACTCCACAAGTTATCCACAGGCCGAGCACCAACGCCCACTTTCAAGATCAGACTTCAAGGCGTTTCGGGATATCCCCACGCGGTGGATGGATGTGGACATCTACGGGCATGTCAACAACGTGCAATACCTGAGCTTTTTCGATACGGCCGTAAACGGTTGGTATGTCGCAAACGGTCTCCTAGACCCACGGACGAGCCCTGAAGTCTTTCTTGTTGTCGAAACAGGATGTCACTACTTCGCCGAGTTGACATTCCCTTCTGTTGTTTCCGCAGGCCTGAAAATTGAAAAACTCGGCTCCAGCTCTATCGTCTTCCGTGTCGGTTTGTTTGCCGGCGAAGAGCCGGAAACTGCGGCCCACGGCCGGTTCGTTCATGTTCTTGTGGATCGAAAAACCAGGCGCCCAATGCCCATTTCCGAAAACGCCCGGGGCATCTTATCAAGTTTGATGACGTAGGAAATCCAATCTTGCAGGGCCATTGATTATCCAGAGCCTGTTCTCAGGTAATCCACGGGAAAAGCCAAGGGCAGTCCATTCGCGTCTGCACAACTAACCCACAGACGATCCACACGTTATCCGCAACTTTTCAACAGGCTGGGAAATCGAGCACACGGCCGGTTGTCAACATGTGGAAAACAACTCTCAACCCAAGTTCTTCATAAGGCGGGATTTCTCGCGCTGCCAGTCCCGTCTCTTTTCGGTTTCGCGTTTGTCATGCAGCTTTTTCCCCCGCGCAAGGGCGATTTCGAGCTTTGCCCGGCCTTGCTCGTTAAAATAAAGCTTGAGTGGCACAATTGTCTTGCCGTCCTTCTGCACGGCACCGGCAAGCTTGCCGATTTCACGTTTGTGCAGAAGAAGTTTTCTGGGGCGCCGGGGCTCGTGATTGAACCTGTTGGCCTGGAGATACTCGGGTATGTAGACGTTGTAGATCCAGATCTCACCGGCGTATTCAGCCGCGTAGGATTCGGCAATATTCGCCTTGCCGGTGCGCAGGGATTTCACTTCCGTGCCCTTCAGCTCGATCCCCGCTTCCAGCGTATCCTCGATTTCATAGTTGAATCGGGCTTTCCGGTTGTCCGAAATGATTTTTCTTCCCGGATCGCCGCCTTTTTTCGAAGCCATTCTCGTCCTTCAGGGGCAACTCCCCCGCAAATTCAGTTGATCAGACCGGCATGTGCCATCGCATCTCGAATTTCGACTTTTGTCGGTTCGGTTACCGGCACGAGCGGCAGGCGAAGCTCTTCCTCGATCTTGTTCAGGAGCGAAAGAGCGTATTTCGCACCGGTTGGGCTTGGCTCCAGGAAAAGGGCGCGGTGCAACGGCGCCAAACGGTCCTGGTACTCAAGTGCTTTTGCAAAATCGCCAGCAAGCGTCGCGGCCTGGAATTCGGCACACAGGCGCGGGGCAACATTTGCTGTCACCGATATGCAGCCGACACCACCATGTGCGTTGAACGCAAGGGCCGAAATGTCTTCGCCGGAAAGCTGAATGAATTCAGAACCGCACAAATGACGCTGACGGCTGGCCTTCGCCAGGTCAGCAGTCGCATCCTTGACACCCTTGATATTTGCGCAACTCTCAAATAGTTCCGCCATTGTCTCCGGTGTCATGTCGATTACGGATCGGCCGGGAATGTTGTAGATGATGATGGGCAAGCCAACTGAATCGTTGATGGCCTTGAAGTGTGCCTTGAGGCCCGCCTGATTTGGCTTGTTGTAGTAGGGTGTTACAACGAGCAAGCCGTCCGCCCCTGCCTTTTCGGCATGTTGGGCAAAATCAATCGCCTCGACCGTGTTATTCGATCCTGCGCCGGCAATGACGGGCACGCGGCCAGCCGCAGCTTCAACGCATAGTTCGATTACCCGCTTATGCTCATCGTGGCCAAGGGTCGGGCTTTCGCCAGTGGTTCCAACAGGAACCAAGCCGTTCGATCCTTCGGCTATCTGCCAATCCACAAATTCCTGAAACCGTTTCTCATCGAGCGCTCCGTCCTTGAACGGGGTAATAAGCGCTGGAATGGAGCCTTTGAACATCTCGGTTTCCTCTTGGATGACTCTGGTGTTTACGATGAACGGAATTCGACCGGTCTCAATGGACGCGCAACATACTCACCTGCTGCAAAAGGGGCAATGCTTGCTTGGCGTTTCCTGCTGTTCCATGGTGTTTTCCTTGGCCGAATGCGCCCTTTAAGCGACACATTCAACGATCCTGAGGCGCTCACACCTGTCTCTCCTGTTGGCGGTCTTCCAAAAATCGGTACTATCTTTTGAAAATCGAGATGAGAACGTTTGGAGATTTTCATGGTCACTGCGCCACAAGAAGCGCAATCGAACGCCGTGCCTGCCGCCCCCGAACCTATTGACTTCACGTGGCGGAGTTCCGACGGCCTTCAGCTGTACGGGCAGGATTGGCGTCCCACCGACACCGCTCCGGGCAACACCAAACCGCCGATTCTCTGCTTGCCTGGTCTCTCTCGAAATTCCCGTGATTTCAATGACATCGCACAATTTCTTAAATCAAAACATTATCGCGTAGTTGCTCTTGATTATCGTGGAAGAGGAAAAAGCGACTGGGACAAAGACTGGAGGAACTATGCCCTTCCGGTAGAAGAAAACGATATTGCTCTTGCGATCGAGGAACTCGGCCTGGGTCGTTTTGCCGTGCTTGGAACATCGCGCGGCGGACTGCATGCGCTTGCCATGACGTTTCGATTTCCGGCGGACCGCATGGCTGGCGTAATCTTCAATGATATTGGGCCTCACATCGAGATGAAGGCAATTCACCGGATCGCCGCAACACTCGGTCACAATATGAAAACCAATTCCATGGAAGAAGTTGCCCGGAACCTGGAGCGGACGATCGGCCAACAGTTTCCGTCATTTGGCCGAAAAGAATGGCTTAAACTAGCAGGACAACTGGCATCGGAACACGATGGCGAATTTGTCATGGACTATGATCCTGCCCTGGCGCATCAACTCGCAAGTCTCGATGACGCGACGCCGGCGCCTGATCTTTGGCCGCTTTACGAAAGACTTACAGATCGCCCGATTCTCATTCTTCACGGTGAACATTCGGACCTTTTAAGCCACGAAACCTGCGTGCGAATGCTTCAGATGCATCCCAATGCGCAACTCCAGACAATTCAGGGACAAGGCCATGCACCGGTCCTTTGGGAATCCGATACTCATGAAGCCATTGGAAGTTTTCTGAAAAGACTCTGATTGGCAGTATCAAATGGCACTTTTCAGCGACCACGGGTCAGAACCTGCCTTCATTTGACCGCGCGGGCCTCGAAATCGCCGAATATTGTGTTGACCCGATCCGAAAACTCAAAAAAATCAAAAGAAAAACCCGGCGTTTCCGCCGGGTTTTCCATCAAACCTCTTGAGGAGGATTGATTAGAAAGTGCGCTGCATACGAACACCGAACAGCAGTTCGTCGAAGTCGTTGCTAGCGTTTCCACCAGTGCCGTCGATCGAGTTGTTGGCGTAACCAACGTCAGCACCCATGACGAAACCGGAGACCGGCTCCCACTGTACCGAACCGTCGATTGCCCAGCGGTCAACGTTGCCGATGGCAGCAGAGCTGTCCATGTCAACATGTGCCCAAGATCCGTCAGCTGCCAGACCGATGGTCGGGGTAGCCTGGATGTACACACCAGCAGACAGTGAGTAACCGGAGTTGGTGTCCCCATCAGGTGCATAATCAGCAACGCCGGTCAGGCCAGTGATGCCGTTACCGATGTACTTCAGAGCGCCGTCAGCATAGAAACCCTGGAAGAAGATGTTGGAACCGGAGTTTGCGAACGGCAGGTTGAAGTTCGCACCAGCGCCGATTGCCCAGCCGAGGCTGTCTTCGGAACCAGAAGCATTCGTGCTGTTGAATGCCGCGTCAGGATAAACCTGATGGATGGCACCCGAAAGCTGTGCGGAACCCCAACCCTGGGATACGCCGAGAGCAGCAACGAAATCAGGCATACGCGTTCCGCCGTAAGCGCCAACTTCGTGACCGGAACGGTCTTCGATTGCGAGCGTTGCGGAGAAGCCGTTGCCGAATGCAGCGGTGTAAGCGATCTGGTTGACCGTGGTATCAGCCCAGTCACGTGTGACAACACCCATGAACACCTGACCGGTGTAGGTGTTGAAGTTAGATCCGAGGTAACCAGCTGTCAGGCCGCCCCACTGGATGTAACCGGAGTCCAGCTTGAAGCCGCTGGCGCCGTTGGTGATGTCCATGCGCAGACCGACATAAGCACGCAGGGTGCCGAATTCAGTAGCGTTACGAGCATCGAGGTATGCGTAACCGCGTGTCAGCCAGGAATAACCATCGGAATCACGGCTGGCCCAAGCACCAGGTGTGTTGTCATCGTCCAGAACGTTGTTGACAACGAACTGTGTACGAAGACGACCACCAACACGCAGGCAGGTTTCTGTGCCCGGGATGTAGTAGAAGCGCGAACCGTAAGCGTCACAGACGCGAACGTAGTCGACCGGCTCCGGAGCAACCGGAAGATCGGCTGCCTGGGCGGTGGTAGCGGTAGCAGCAGCTGCTACGCCGAGCATCAAGCTCTTGAGTTTCATATCTGACCTCCAATCAGTCATATCAATCGGCACTCAATCAGAAGCGCCACTTGTCCCCGCGAATTTATTCTGCGTTTGCTTCCGACCGGAGGTTGGATGTCCGAGGCATGCAAACCAGTGCGGCTCGAAGCCGCTCGCAACATGACCATACGCATCCGCTTTCCCGGTTCAACATCGAATGTGCTCTGCCCCCGCTCCGGGAGCTGTTTTCAAAAACCGGTGTTGCGCGAATGTCACAAAATCAGGGTTGATCTTTAGAAACTGTTAGGAAATGAGCGCCCTAGCGACGCTTTGAAGGCCTGAAACAACAATAATCAAGGCTGAATGGTCAGCGAGAATCGCCACCTTGATAAATGGGGACGGCCCGGCAGATTGGAGCCTGCCGGGCCGCATGACTGACTGGAGTTCAAAGTCACTCAGTCAGCTAACTAATCACGGATGATTAGAAAGTGCGCTGCATACGAACACCGAAGAGGAGTTCGTCGAGATCGTTGACGCTCTGACCGGAAATGTCAGCGCTTGTGTTGGAGTAACCAATGTCGGCACCCATGACGAAACCGGAGACCGGCTCCCACTGTACCGAACCGTCGATTGCCCAACGATCGATGTCTGCGTCGGTGGTGCCAACGAAGTCATTCTGGTCAACGTGTGCATAAGAACCGTCAACTGCCAGACCTATGGTCGGGGTTGCCTGAATGTACACACCAGCAGACAGGGAGTAACCAGTGCTCTTGTCGCCGTTTCCGCCGTAGTCGGCCACGGAACCAAGTGTTGTACCGGTGCTGCTGACAACGGAAACGCCAGTGATGCCGTTACCGATGTACTTCAGAGCGCCGTCAGCATAGAAACCCTGGAAGAAGATGTTGGAACCGGAGTTTGCGAACGGCAGATTGACGTTCACACCAGCGCCGATTGCCCAGCCGAGGCTGTCTTCATCGCCAGAAGCATTCGTGCTGTTGAATGCCGCATCAGGATAAACCTGGTGAAGAGCACCGGAGAGCTGTGCGGAACCCCAACCCTGGGATACGCCGAGAGCAGCAACGAAATCAGGCATACGTGTTCCGCCGTAAGCGCCAACTTCGTGACCGGAACGGTCTTCGACAGCAAGCGTTGCGGAGAAACCGTTGCCGAATGCAGCGGTGTAAGCGATCTGGTTGACCGTGGTATCAGCCCAGTCACGTGTGACAACACCCATGAACACCTGACCGGTGTAGGTGTTGAAGTTAGATCCGAGGTAACCAGCTGTCAGGCCGCCCCACTGGATGTAACCGGAGTCCAGCTTGAAGCCGCTGGCGCCGTTGGTGATGTCCATGCGCAGACCGACATAAGCACGCAGGGTGCCGAATTCAGTAGCGTTACGAGCATCGAGGTATGCGTAACCGCGTGTCAGCCAGGAATAGCCTTCAGAATCACGGTCCGACCAGTTGCCACGCCCATCATTGTCAAGAACGTTGTTGACAACGAACTGTGTACGAAGACGACCACCAACACGCAGGCAGGTTTCTGTGCCCGGGATGTAGTAGAAGCGCGAACCGTAAGCGTCACAGACGCGAACGTAGTCGACCGGCTCCGGAGCAACCGGAAGATCGGCTGCCTGGGCGGTGGTAGCGGTAGCAGCAGCTGCTACGCCGAGCATCAAGCCCTTGAGTTTCATTTCTGACCTCCAAAAGTCAATTTCAATTCAGAGCCTTGAACTACCGGATTTTCGGTCTGCCGGGCTCTGTCCCCGCGATTTCTCGGAAAAACGGACCAAAACAACGTTACGTGATCCATTTCTACTGACGATTACTCGCCGTCGCACCAATGTTAAAACCAAATTTGCGCTCAACCGGCAAGCGCAAAACAACTCCAGAGCTCACAACCGGTACGCGCTGTGCCTTTTCTGCAACATTGTTTTTACTGGTTTTTTCCTGATTGTATATGAAAATCGAAATAGATTTTCTCATATTGAACTCTGGCTACACGTATCCAATCAACCATTGAATGTAAAACCTGCGGTTGAATTTCAAGAATCAACAAAATAATCAATTAATATAAATAATTGTATAATAGTTTTTCGAATCTAAAAAGTACAATCTATTCAGTTTTTACATGTATAAACTCTATTTTTATCTGATAATACTTCAAATGAAAAAAATGACTCTGAGTCAGATTAAGTATTCACGTATAACGCGAGTTGCAAGTAGCAAAAAATACACTCCTTTTCTCGATCCGACACCTGGCGCCAAATCCGCTTCCAACCAAGCAGCAGGCACGAAAATGCAGAGGACGCGTCGAATCGAGTCTCGAATTTTTGATAAAATCGTTTTAATACAATGACTTACTTGATTTTCACGGAAACGCTTGCGCTTTTCCCGCTGGCATCCTTGACCGTCACATTTGCAAATCCGGGTGACTCCGGCTGCCAGATCAGTTGTCGTTGAGTAGAATCGGTTTGGAACGGGGCTCCGTTGACAAGAACCGCATAGGGTGCAACGCCACCTTTGAATTTGACAACGAGCGGTTGGGAAAATTGCCGTCCTTCTTCCGACGGCTTCAGCCCCAGGTGCAGTTCCGCACCATCCGGTGGATACGAAATCAGCAGCCTGTCTTCCTGGTGGGATACACTCCGATTTCCAGATGTTCTGGCATACTGGAGCGGTAGCGGTACATCTCCGGCAAGTGCGGCAGCGACATCAGGCGGGTGTGGAGGAAATGGCACGCGTGCTGTACCCAGTTTTTGAAAGACTTCAAAAAGAATCGGTACAGAAGTCTTTTGTCCTGTCTGCCCCGGCACCGGTGATCCGTCTGGCCGTCCGACCCATACGGCGGCAACGTATTTTCCGTCGAACCCGAGCGCCCACGCATCACGATATCCATATGAAGTCCCGGTCTTGTAGGCAATATGCTGAGTCTCGGAGCCTTGAAGCTGTGGCATCCCGACCAGAATGTCGCTCACCATGACTGCCGCCTTTGCCGAAAGCACCTTCTGAGATTGCTGTTGCGGCCCCTGCGGAAGACATGACACCCGGCAATGCCTGAATTCGACCGGTTGGCCGCCCCGCGCCAGGGCTCCGTAAGCCTGCGCAAGGTCCTTCAGCGACAAACCCAGTCCACCGAGACTGATCGCCAATCCCGCTGGCTTGCCTTTTTCCAGAACCGGCCGGGCGCCCGCCCGTTTCAAACGCGCCAGCAGCCGCGCTGGTCCAACTGCTTCCAGTAACTGGACAGCCGGCGTGTTCAGGGAAAGCTGCAAAGCCTCCCGCAGTGTCACCGTCCCCTGGTAAGCGCGGTCGAAATTGGTTGGCTGATACCCCCCTATATTGGTCGGTCGATCCCTGATCAGGCTTTGCGGGACCCCAACGCCTTCTTCAAATGCAAGCCCGTAGATGAATGGCTTCAGTGTCGAACCGGGTGAACGCACTGCCCGGGTCATGTCGATATGACCCAATCGCGCTTCGTCCAACAGGTCCGGTGCGCCGAGCCGAGCTACAATTTCACCGCTGCGGTGGTCCGCCACGATGATTGCAAGGGAAACCGGCACCGGAAAGCTGTTGGCACGCGTTCGTGCGAGTGCTTCCAGAGCCGACTGCAGGTCCTTGTCGATCGTCAGGTGATGTACAGCCCGCTTTGGAGCCATGATTCGCGCGTGGCGGCTTTCATGGGCAGCAATCAGCGGCATATTGTTGCGCCGTGTCCGCACGGGTTCCGCAGAGGCCGAAGCAGCTTCGGCCAGTGAAATAACGCCAGCGACAACTGCTCTGGCAAGAACCCTGTTGCGTGCTTTTCGGGCCCGGTCAGGAAAGCGGTCCGGCCGACGAGCTTCCGGGCTTTGAGGCAGCGCAACCAGAAGTGCGGCCTCGGCCACCGTCAAGCGCCCGGGCTCCTTGCCGAACCAGGTCAGGCTTGCCGCACGGACCCCTTCCAGGTTGCCGCCGAAGGGTGCTCTCAACACGTAAAGCCGGAGAATGTCCTCCTTGGAATAAGTCTGTTCGAGCTTCACGGCCTTCAGGACCTGCTCATACTTGCGCCGAGCACTTCTTGTCGGTGCTTCATCCAGAAGCCGTGCGACCTGCATTGTCAGCGTCGAACCACCGGAAACGATGCGGCCGTGCCGAACCCCCTGCAAAATGGACCGGATCAGGGCACGCGCATCAACGCCGTCATGCTCAAAGAACCGTTTGTCTTCGAAGGAAAGCAGCATCTGAACATAGAGTGGATCGATCTCGTCAAGCTCAACCGGTAGCCGCCATTTCTCATCGCGACTGGTAAACGCCCTGAGCAAACGATCTTCACGGTCAAGAACGACGACCGAAAGCGGCAAATCGGAGATTTGAGGTGGCGGCGCAAGGGCCTTGAAGTCTGAGAGTACTTTCCAGCCTCCAGCTCCCAGGAATGTGCAAAGGCAAACTCCGGCGATCGCCATCGATCGCCGGTTTCCTTGCCAGAACTGCCTCAACCGGATTGCCATTTCCAGTGTTACCGGGTCGGGCCCAGAACGTTGAAGCGGCCAGTTTGCGTGATCGCACGACGGTCAGGCCGGTACATGTCCTCAACCGAGGCCGGTGGATGAGCGAATGCGCCGGGTATCGCTGCACGTGCCAGATACGCAAACGTCAGTTCCTGGCCACCCTGCCGGGTCTGATCAACGGCAACCTCGAACCTGTCATCGTAAAAGGCAGCATGCTGCGGGGAGTCTATGGTTGACAGGAAGGAAAGCCCCCCAAGGTCACCGGAGCGCACCAGCCTCGGATTGTCGATGACGAGACCTGCCGGCAGCCGGTCGACAACCATCAGCCGTCCTGGCTGATCTGTCAGTGCACGCACGGTGAGAACAACGGCGAGACGTGTATTGACCGGGACTGCCGACGGATCCACCAGATTGCCGTCCAGATCGTAGATCCGGCGCTCGACTGAGTAATCCTTGCCGCCGGCCGGCTCCGGTGTAACCGGCTGCCCGACAACAGAAACGAGAAGATCTGTCGCTGCCGCGCCGTTATTTGACACCTGAACCGGCACTCCTTCCAGTTCGCTGCCACTGAGCGCCCATGCCAGTCGGCCTGGGGTTTCTGCGCCGCCGACTGATATCCGGGCTTCGTCCGCTGACTCGTTTAGTGCCTGCGCCGCAAGAAGCAGCCACGCCATGTCCTGTGTTGATCGGTTCGACGTTCTGCTCTGCGCAGCCTTCAACCTGTCAACCGCGTCTTCTTCCAGCTGCGTTCCGGCCGAGGCAGAAACGATGTAATCTGTTACGCCCGCGCTGTCGCGCAACGAAGAACCATAGTCACTGCGGTAGGTCTGGTTCTTTTCCCGAGGCAAAGCATTGAGAGCTGCGGTAAATCCGGTTGCGGCCCGTTCCCTCTCGCCGTAAAGCGCAAGTCCTGCGGCAACCTGCGCCTTGGCAAGCGGTGTCGCAAAGCTTTGCAGCTTCGCATCCAGGTAGTAGCGCAGATCACCCATCGACGCGCGACCGTTTCTTGCAAGCACATACAGCGCGTAGGCAATTCCCTCACCACCGTCCTGAAAGTCGGATGCATAGGCCATCCGGTTCTCCAGATTGTCCAGTGCCGTGGTAAACGCGAGGTCCGGGACCCGGTATCCCTTCTCCCGGGCACGGGTCAGGAAGTCGGTCACATAGGCGTCTAGCCAGGTGTCGCCATCGCCAAAGCTGTTCCAAAGGCCAAATTCACCTGAAGAGGACTGGTTGGCGAGCACAGCCGAAATGGCCTTGACCACCCGACCCCTGATCGCGTCGTCACCGCCAAGCCCTGCCGCTTCGGCGACTTCGCTCAAATAAAGCAACGGCAAGGCCCGGCTCGTGGTCTGCTCGGTGCAGCCGTATGGATACCGGTCGAGCGCGGCCAACAAGCCGGCAACGTCAATGCTGGCAGCACCGCCCGCCGTGAGCGTGACATCAACGGTTTGCGCCCTCAATCCATCGAAACTGTCAGCGCTCAGGCTCAGGTTGTCTCCGGATGCGAGCTGGAAGGACGACCTTCGCACGACATTGGGTTGCGTGTCCCTGATCTCAAGCCCGATTCGCTTGACGGTGCTCTCACCGTCCGGACCCGTAAGCGACGCAACGACTTCACTGTCTGATGGATCGGAACCGGCGCTGACCGGCAGCAGTGCGAGAACCTTCTTGCCCTTTTCAATCTCGAATGAGCGGACTTGCCTTGGAGCATTGTCGATCGACAACCCTTCACCAGCAGTGACCTCCAGTTCATAGGTTCCGGTCTCACCGTCCACATTGTCGATTTCGATCGCGAGACGCGAACTGTCCCCGGGAGCGAGGAACGCGGGTGCACTTGCCGTCATCACGACGGGCGACCTGACTTCCACTTCCTGATCGGCATGGCCTACGCCGTCAGGCGTCCAGGCAACGGCCATCAACTTGAGTGCACCATTGAAGGCTGGAACATCGAACGAAACCGTCGCATTTCCATCTGAATCGACGTTCACGAGCCCCGAAAACAGAGCGACCGGCTCCTCGTCGGGCGGCGGGGAATCAAGTCTGAGTGACATGGCATCACCGCCGGACCGGATCCTTCCCAAAGTACCGGCCATCCGGTCGATCAGCTGTCCGTAAAGATCCCTGATATCCGTTCCGAGCCGGCGCTGGCCAAAATACCAGGCATCCGGATCCGGTGTCTTGAAATTTGTCAGATTCAAAATGCCGACATCAACGGCGGCGACGGTCAGATAGGCCTCAGTACCAGGCTGAAGATTGGCGAGCCGGACCGGAACCTCAAGTGTGGTTTCCGGCAGGATCCGTCCCGGTGCAGACAACTCGACATCAATCACGCGATCGCCCGGATCCACCTTTAGCCAGGACAGGCCGATTGCCCGCGAGGGCATGCGTTTCTGGTCGATATCCATGGGGCGGTAGAGGCTTGCGGTGACATAGGCACCCGCGCCCCATTCGTCGCTGACGGGAAGCTCGATTTCGGTTTCTTCCGCAGACACTTCAATGGTGCGGCTCGCAAGAAGACCACCCGAGACAACGTTCACCACCGCAATCCCGGCCATCTGCGGCTTCAGCCGCAACTTCGCCGTCTCACCAGGCCGATAGCTTGCCTTGTCCAGTCCGACGTCGAGATAGTCCGGCGTTTCGGATGACGCGTCCGCGGAGTACCAGCCAGCATTGAACGAAACACTTGTCGAGGTCTGAAGCGAACCGCTCCCCTTTACATCGAGCCTGTATTCACCCCATTCCACCGGCAGGGACAGTTCGGCGGGTTTCGCCGCTTCAATGCTCACTTCACCGCTGGCCACCCGCTCTGATGTGGTTATCGGCTCAAAGGACCAGCGTCCGTCAAGACGGTACCACTGGTATCTCCGGCTGACCTTGGAAAGTGTCCATGACAAGTCGTCCGCGTCCAGCTGCTTGCCGTCCGCACCGATGACAATCAGGGAAAAGGCAGCAGGTCCGCCCTCATCAACACCGCCATCGAATGCCGGGCTGATACCGATACGTGGCCCATCCAGGGCAACCGGCAGGTCAAGATCGCGTTCAACATAACGTCCACCCGCCTCGACCAGACGTGCAACCAGTTCAGCGTCATACAGGGTCGTCGTCTCGGGCAGGGTCGGCAGGGTCACGTCAAAAGAGAGTTTGCCATCCTCGTCCGTTTTCAGACCTGATGGGATCGCACCGCGCTGGGAATAGGTCTCTTCATTCTCCAGTCCGAACAGATACCCCTGATAGGCCTTGAGCGTGCGAACGGGGCGCACGATGACATCGCCTTCCAGAGTCTGGCCGCTGGCGGGAGAACCGTAGAGAAACTTCGCCTCCAGCGTAATCGATGTCGGAGATGTCTGACTGAAGGCTGTCGCTCGGGTTTCCAGCTCGAAATCGACCCTTTCAGGTCGATAATCTTCCACAAGGAAAGTCTCCTGCGCGAGCGCTCCTCCCTTGGGATCGGCGAAGACCTGCCAGGACCAGATCCCCTGTTGCACGGTCCCGCCAAGATCGAGATCCTGCAAATGACCACCAAGACCGCTATCGGTCACGGTATAACGGGCATGTTCCACGCCGTCGGGACGGCTGAAAACAAATGTAAGCGGAAAGTCTTCCTGTGCCATTGCCTTCGAATTGCGAAGGAGAGCCTGGGCGTGAACCGTTTCGCCGGCCTTGTAGATCCCACGGTCAGTCCAGGCAAAGACATCCAGTGGTCCCGGCGCAGGCCTGCCTTCAACCCCGCGGTCGGAAAGATCGAATGCGGGTTTGCGCAGATCGAGGAACGAATAGTCTCCCTCCCCGGTCTCGGCGATGAGAACTCCCGGTGCAGATCCACCGCGACCTCGCGTCAGGCCGGCTGCAAACTCGGCGAAGCCCTCCGCGTTTGTCGTGGTCTCACCGAGCACTTCATTGTTCACCGCCAGAAGCCTGACGGTAACGCCATCAAGCGATTTTGCTGTTGAGAGAGAACGGATGTTCGCTGCAATGCCGCTGTCGCCTGTAAGTGCGGTCAATCCGAGGTCCGACACCAGGAACCACTGTGTGGCAAGTGTGCCCCAACGGTTCTGCAAATCGAGTTTGGAGCGCGCCGTCATGGCATAGACACCGGGCTTCAGTTCGATCCCGGTATCGGAAACGGGGAACGCCGTAGTGACGTCCTGGTTCAGCGTGTTTTCGGTTTCGAGAATTCCGGACCAGACCTTTTCGCCAAGCTCGTCCTCGATCTGATCTGCCTTCCACGAATCGAGCTGACGCAGGAAACGGTTGTCGCGCAGAACGTCCGCGACAGACCGGTTACCGACGCGATAAATCACGGTTTCAACCTCGGTGCTGTTTACCGACACGATCGGAATGGTTGGATTGCCACCTGAGGGGAGAACGTAAGAGCGGCTGAGGAAATGGACCGATGGCGCACGATCCTTCACGTAGATCGACAATTCAGCCGTCTTTTCAAGCTTTTCGCCATCAGCGGCCGGCAAGCCACTGCGGGCTGTGACCTGATAGCGGGCTCCGTGTTCCAGACCGTCGGCACAGATCTGGTTCCCCTCGGTTTCGACCGAGACCGAGCCGGAACCCTTGACCGTGACATAAGGCCCGAGGTCTTCACCCAGAGGGAGCTTTTGCGAAAAGGTCAGACAGATTCTGGGAGAGACGCTGTTCGAATCAACCTGATGATCGACGATACGAAAGCCATGCTGTGCAACAAGGCCGTCGTAGCGACGACGCAAGTCCGGATTTTCCTCGAGTGCGAGCGAGGCGCGCAGTGCCTTGATCGCCGGTTTGAATTCGTTGCGGCGTTCCAGCGCCCGTCCGAGCAGATCAAGTGCAAATGCCCTCTCCTGCGAATTGATCGCCTTCAGATAGGCATTGATGGCGGCGGATACCGCGTTTTTCTGCTTGGTTTCCCGTTCCTGCCAGTTGTCCGGATTTTGAAGCAGCAATGCTGCTGTCAGGCTTGTCCAGTC